TTAATATTATATTTGAAGCATATTTTCATAACATAAAGTTATTAATTTCATGTCATATTAAGATTAAACTGTTGATAAAAAATTAACTCTAGTTCCTTTAATATATCACAGATCAATCTGCTGTTTTAATAATGACAATAATTCATATGAACTTAAATGATTGCGGTCTTAAAAATTATTTATTTTCTACCAAAAAGAAGAGTAAAAAATTAATAAAAAAGTAAATCTGATGTCAAATACATTCTAATATTCTAAAGTTGGGAGTCCATTTATTATACTTTTTTATTAAAGAGATAATCTGATTACAAATAGGTAAATATTCTATGGTCAAGCGTCATCATTAATATTAATATTAATGAGTAAATAAACATAGAATTGACAAAAGAATAACTTAGAGACTCATTTGAGAGTCTTCGAACAATGATGGCAGGAACTCGAAGCAGATAAATTTTCAACGATTGAAATTGCGAACGTCTCATAAAGTATACAGACATCAAATAAGTCGTATCAGTAATTCACAACTTATACTACCAGAAAATAGCAATATGGCTTTTGTACATATGTACATAAAGGTAATATTAAAATATATGGTACTGAAACTTATCAGCTCGTTAAAAATTTCTTTGAAGAATACCATCGAGACCTAAACATAAAATAAAGCAGTATTACTTTAACTTGTGAATGTAAAATTCAACTTTAGTGAAAGAAAATAATACGTAGATATACATAGTTTTATACTTCACTAAAATAAATATTTACAATCATATTATTTGAAATTATAAAGCAAATGATTGAGACAACCCGCATACACCTTTTTTCACATATTTGGCTTACTAGTGGAGAAGAATTTTTAATTTTTTGTTTTCAATGTATGTATCTACCTTTATAATTTTAACAAATGTAAAAACGAGATTCCAATAAATTAAGCTTGTATTGTTCTTATTAATAATAAGTTTATATATTTTTATCATTGTAGATTTTTTTATACTGATTTAATGTAGTAGTTTATTTTAAAAATAGGTAAATTCCGGTGTTATCTATACCCTGTATAATCCGATCGAATGTATGATATCACCTTTTATAATACGTATTATGGTTATATATTTTAGTGCAAATAAATAAACAAAATAACGAAAGTTACGTACGCGCTACTTATTAAAAACTAAGTGAACACCGCCGGGGCAACATCGTTGTATGGATAACATATCATATAACGAGTGACGCTGCTGACTCCTCGGAACGAACCCCATGCCGTGTGCACCAGAAGATTCTTGATACTCGTACCATACAAGCAATGGAATCGGATTGCTATCCTAACATCGGGTCAATCATGTAGTCTTAGGTATAGATCATAAGTTTTAACATGTAATTTTTATTATAATATACATATAAGTATGTTTCGTAGTTTTCCTGAAACCTGCGGTTGCCATCCAACGTAATTCGAATATAAAAATGTAAAAGAAAAAGACGAATTAGTTAACTCTGTTACGTCTAAATGTTTGATTATTAACTGATTTATGTAACGGTAGAAAAGATATGTTAATCGCTTATCAGATATTATACACAAAAAGCTTCTGTTGTGTTTGTAAAAGTATTGCAACAGTACATTTAAAAATAATAGTTCCTATGATATTTTTCCCTGAAGTTACTGAAAATTTTTTATGAAATTTATATACAAAATGATTTAATACCAGTAAAATATAATGCTTTATAACATATTTTTAGGCCACTATATATTTTCTTTATATTTTTCTTGCTTTGACTAAATATATAGAAATAATACGTCATCAAAACAGTAGCTTCGAATAACAATCATCTTTAATATCCGCTGTTAATATCCGGCCTTTCATCATGGAAGAGGAAGAATAATAAATACGAGGAAAATAATAAAAAAAACGCATATAAAGTGATACACTTAGGCCAAGTTTATCATTGTCACCGTATATACGATGTATTGACTGTTTAATACATTAATGTACATTATTTCTATAGTTGGCAAAGATTTTTGACTAAACTACTGTTATATCTGTGTGTAGTGTGACACTGCTAACTTAGACTAAGCATTGGGAGCGAACAATTTAACAATATTTTTAAATGAGGCTTTTAAGTTTTAATTATATTTTTACCAACTTTTGAATGACCACATCCGACATTCATGTATTACTTACTTAACATTAGTTCACTCGTTGTCCTCTTCCAAATATAGTTCATTAACATCTTATAGAAATTTATTATAATATGTTTAACCTTCACACAATATATGACAATATACAACGTTTTGAAATTCCTTTCTAAAGCAATTTATCAAATATTTTTAAACATTAATATCTCAAAAGGTTCAAGATTACATTAGTCTGTCCATTAATAATGAAAATTTGAACAGTTGATAATATCTAAATTCAAATAGTTTGGAAATTATCAAAAAGAGTTGGCTACTAAGATTAAACTTTAACAAATAAACATATCTGTAAGAATAACACAGAAGAAATTTTGTATAGTATTGAGCCTATATCGTATACTCCAATTATCTGGTATAAATAGTAACTAGGTGTACGAGCATGAAGAGTGTCCATAAATAAAACCTATTATATAGATACTTACTATGTATAAAAACGTAACATAAGGCACGTTTATAATACTCTTTTATAAGTTTCCGGGAATTTTTGTATATTTAAACATTTTTCGGGATATGCAATTCATAACATAACGATGTGGTGTGTTTCAAACCAAAAACATTGACATCTAAATACTCTTTAAAAAGGTAAAATAAAAAATAATAATAAACATTCGATGTTTGTTCTAGGTAAAGATATTTACTACAATACTCTTCAAAACATATATTTATTTATTGGAAACTTTTCAAATACAATACTACTTCCCGGCGTCGGGACGTGACGACCCCATCGCCCACCGGTGTATTCCGGTGCAATTAGTCACGGGGGGGAAGGGCCTTGACCTCCTCGTGGGGTCTTGGCCCGGGCTGGGGGTGCAGCCCATGGAGGTGGGTAGGACGAGGCTCGGCGGTGTACACCGCCGCTGCCGAGTTCGGCCCTACGTGTTGGCGGGTGGCCTCGGCCACTGTCGGCGCAGTCCGGCGTCGGGACGGGACGACCCCATCGCCCACTGGTGTATTCCGGTGCAATCAGTCACGGGGGGGAGGGCTGGGGGTACAGCCCTGGGAGTAAGACGGTCACGGATTTGGCAGGAGGCCGTCCGTGGCTGTCTTGGGGGGGAGGGGATACTCGGGTCTCTCCGGAGGCCTGAGTTCGCTTGTGGTCGGTCGGTTTCCTCTCTGTCTGCCGTCGGGCGCTTGCGCTCGTCGGTGGGTGGTTGGAGACTGGCCGCGTGGGCTTGGGTGGGAGGGGTAAGGGGTTAACCCTCTCGCGATTAAGCAAGCCCGCCAGGCGGGGGGACACTCCTGGTCACTTGGAGTGAGCCCTCGGGGGGGGACGTGGCCGTTCGCGGCCCGCCGCCGGATCGTCGCGGATGCTTGCTTCGGCGTTTCCCGTGGCGATCCACTTGGCGGCAACGGAGAGTGACCGCTGGTGTTTTAGTGGGTAACATGGGCCCTTCTGGCCGTGAATCCCACATAACCGCCTCTGTCTCCCCTAGACGGAGGGGTAGGTATAAAACCTTTCACCGCGATAACAAAAAAAAAAAAAAAAAATACAATACTACTTTAATATGTTACTTATACAATATCTCCCTTCATAATTAGCAAACTTTCACGAGTATTTATTTTTACCTCGAAACAACCGAAACATTGGGAGTATGGACTTTAAAAGAATAAAAAACGCATGGTAAATTTGATATATGTTTATTTTAACCTCTTCGTTCATTATTTATTTAGAAATACTTCTATTTTACAATCATAGTTACCTTTTGAGAAATATTTTAATTTATTTCAATGACTTGATTTTACCTTCTTATATTTTTGGTATGTATTTCATTGTGGGTTTATAAATTATAAAGAAATGAAATACTGGTGGTAATAGCCATACACTTTTATTAGAAATTATAATATTTGTAAAATGTTTTACATTTACTTAAAAAAATATATAAAATAAAGCCTCTCCATTAAAAAGGTTTCTATAGAAAGAGCTTAAGTCTCATTACACGTGAAAACACACGGGAAAATGTGTGACATTCGTGCTCTGAAAGTAACTTATATATATAAATGCTACACCTTGTATATTTTATACATATAATAGAATCTTGCACGTTCGAGCACAGAAACTTGAATGAAGCAAAGACTTAAACATTTGAGTGACTTTAGAGTACTTGGATTTTCAACCCTATACAGTCAATATTAAATACTATTTTGCATCACCAAGTTATACACCAATTCAAGACTATTCATAAATCTTGTTACATAATCGTATTACCGTAATTATTAATTAAAAACTTTAAAAGATTCAACATTAAATTTGAAGTTGCACTTGCACTACGAGATTTATTTACATACTGTATGTATGTATATTATTTTTATTTAATGACTATTACACGGGGACATACCAAATAAACACTTCTTATTCAAACAAAGTACGTAATCCAATATTGATATTCTAATACTCTAAAAGCACAGATAAAACAAAAAAAAATAGCTTGATGTGAAAAAGATATGAGTTGACAACATGTCAAAAATCATAATGATATTAATTGTGATATATCACACAGTATCATAGCTGATTGCCTGCAATTTTTATTGTATAACTAAGTACATAAGTACATTTTCAATCTAAAGTTATGTCTACATATATATGTGCAATGAATAGTATTTAGTAAACAAAATCTGACGATATATGTTAATAATTATGCAGTGTCCATATAAGATTCAACAGTCATTTTTGCTTCATAAGCCTAGAAAATTCCTTTCATAGAGTTTTCTGAAGATACATTCAGACGTTTTTTTATTATACGTATATTAAATAAAATGAACTTATATGTATAAAGGTTTCAGTCTTAAATGTAAAAGTCGAGACCCTTATTAATTAACATCCCTACAAACTAGACTCTTTATTGAGTACGTTGAGCTCAATATCACCATTTTGTTTAGATAAAAGCGTCTCTTCAATCTTAATTTCTATATTATCATTAATCTGAAACATGTCTTGAATCTCACGTAAACTCTTCCCTCTAGTTTCTGGTACCACGAAATACGAAAACATAGCACCAGAGAAAGCTATCACTGAGAACATCCAGAACGCACCGCACAAACCAGATATATTCTTCACAGCCTGATAGGTTTTAGTCACGGAGAAACCGGCAAAACCACCGAAAACATTAAGCGTCGTCATAGCCACCGGTTTAACGTTCAACGGGAAAACTTCCGCTGATATAATACTTATAATCGAATTAAAACCTAAAGTGGACACTACACTACAGAGTATTATAGCAACGAACGGTACAATACCGTATGGTCTGAGCAATGATGGGCTTAAAGCAACGACGTCCAACAAAAAAAAATATAAACCAGCCGTTGCCACACAAAGCCCAAAACTGAAATACGAATATATCAAAAGCGGACGCCTTCCAACTCTGTCTACCAAAATAGAAGACATTATACCTGGAATAATAAACAATCATATCATTTCTCGACTTTAACTACCATTAGTATAAGGATTGTTTTAGCTTGAATCTCAATTATTACTTACCAACAACAAACTTGACTATACCAAATATGACCAGTATAGTTGATAATTTCATATTGATGTTCGCATCTTGCATGATACGCCCCAAATACTGCTGTATAGTTAATGTACCCGTCATTATTTGTGTTACCTTCAAGCCTAAAACATTAATACAGCTTTTAAAATTTATTTAACTCCTTTTTTATTTACATATAATTTCTCTTTCATAGCAAGAGTTTCATCACAATTAAGTTGGTCCAATTTTAACTGTACAAAAATTAGTAATATGGGAAATCTTCTGAAAGGCGAATACTAGTAGACAGAGGTACTACTTATATAAAAGGTGGCATCAATTAGTAGTATTAAAATGGCGATTATTCGCTATTAGTCAAAATACCCTAAACCCTGATTCCAAATTCCTATCAGTTTCCTCATTCATGGCATATTTCTACAATCCCAAAAAAAGCACACTTTAAACAACACCTTGAGATATTCATGGTCGATATTAGCCACTTACTGTCTAAACCGTTCATTTTTTGTTTTTTTACAGGAGAAATTAAGCCTATAGCATAGGTTATAAGTCTATGCAAAGTATGTGCTCTACAAACTTGTCAGCCGTTTAACAGATACTTACCCAATGCTATTACAAGCGGACGTCTATATTGTCTGCCAGTAAATAATTCGCAAACCGTCCCTGAATGTCGCATTTCCTTATTCACATCTGCCTTTAAGGACTCTAATTCGATCTCTGCTTTCTGGAAGTTTAAAATGTTCTTAAAGTTTAAAATGTCTTTGGAAAGTTTTTGTAAACTGTTTACTTTTCAGATAAACTACACTAAGAAGTCTTTGTTAAACTTAACATTGAAAAGACTAAGTGCTGAGTTTAATCTCTATATCTTCTGACAGAAGTAACATTCTGAAAGGATTTTAGATTTTTTAAAGTGTTATTATGTTATATTCACCTCTTTCCCCTTTAATCTTATGAGAACTCGTCTCGCTTGTTCCACTTTGCCTTTCTTCAAATAATAATATGGAGATTCAGGTATCCATAGACATGCTGCAAAAAATATTACAGGCAATCCTAGTATGCAGTAATTTAATGTGCTATATGGTAGGAAAGGTCCTATAGAAATGACAAGAAGACTGCCGAGGTTAAACATGAACCTTGTTCCAACTGCTAATGTACCACGAATATCTTTGTCAGCTATTTCAGCTAAATACATCGTCACCACCTACAAAATAATAACAATTATTAATGTTTTTACAAAAGACCATAAATATAATCGAAGGCGACATTTTTTATACAAACCGTAGAAACCATTCCAGTACCAAAACCCCACAAGAATTTCATGATGAACAACAACCAGGCCTGTGTTGCTAACACTGCAATTAGCTGGAAAATAATACACATAGACCAGAAAAATAATAATTTAAAATTTCATTAAAATGAAGTCTTTATTAATAAAAATATTACAGATAAGGATTGGTAAAAGGTCATACCGTGCCAGTAGCGATTGGTAATGCGCTCGCTAAAACAGTGGTTTGAGTTCCGAAGCTATCTGCCACAAATCTCGTGAGTAAGCTGCCAGCCACAAAACCAGGCGCTGACATCGCCAACATTGTGGCTATTTCATTCTATTAAACATAATTATTATACATAATTATAAATTTATATTAAATATATGGCTTATTTTGTTTAGTCTTGCGTTCACTTGAAGAAAAGGAATAACAATAATTAATTAATTAATTAAAACTTTCAAACATTTTCTCAATTAACCTTTTCATATCACGAAACCATTTAATGAGTGTTATAATGAAAGGAAATATTGCTGAAGTATTTATTATAATTTTATAAAATTAATTACTGGGAATAAGTTGGAACTAATTGGTTATATGCCTCAAATAACAATTTATATAAATTAAAATTGTTATAGGAAATATGGAAAGAAAAAGTTCATCAACAAGAGAAGGTTTCGTATTTGCAATCTACGGAATTTCAGCTTTTTCTGCACAATTTTTCCAGTGACTTTGCCAATCAAGCTATCGTATACTGAATCGTTTCGGGAATTAAGCATGCTATATATTCAAACAAACGGAGCTTCATGTATTAGCGTTTCGTGTGAGAGTCCTAATCGATATTTTCTTATTCATTATACGAAGAAACATCGTAAGTGACTGAATGTTTCTCAAAGATTTAAGCTACAAATTATAGTTTAACTGCGATAATAAAACTATATTAAATAATTGTAGACCATTTACTGTAGTACTTTAGTACTTTTACTAAGACTATATGAAACAATAGTCGAGAAAGTTCTGAAAGATAGTTTTCATGGGGTGATATTTAGCTTAATTTGGTTAATATAAGTTCAGCAGTGTAAAAGTATTATAAATTACTAAAAAGACGTAAGGCATTTTACGTATATGAGGATTCGATGAAGTTAACTAAACAGCAATTCTAAATTCAAGGTTTAAAATATTATTATATGAAGAACTTACATCAGTTATTTGTACATTAGTTTCATTTCTATGAAACTTTGGTATGACTGGAGTTGGCCATGCTGAGGACACACCCAATGTGGCGGTGGACAATGACACTGGCAGCAAAAAAAAAACATTAAATTAAACCTTCTTGCTCAATAAAAAAAAAAAACTCAATTAACATATTCTATTAGTATTTAAAAAGCTAATACAATTTTTTAACTTACATGCAAATGCTGTCATATATTGAATAAACCTGCCGCGTTCCATCTGTGAAATAATTTAATAACAATTTTATTATATAATAATATAATATAACCATCCAAGCCGTACAACTCATAATGATTTTTAATTTAAAAATTAAAATACATAAAGATCGTTGATTGGTTTCAGTATCACAATTGGCTGAATGAATTCATTGTGTTACAATGTTGGCGGCTTCCAAGAAATAATAAAAGAGGAAAAAGCTAAAAATTTGCCTTTTTACGCTCTATTCACGGAACATAATTTTACATCTCAAGACTACAGATGGCGTTAGTAACGAAAAGAAATAAATGGAGTGAAATTGAAATCTGAAACGTTTTAAATTTAACCAATTTAATTAGGCGAAACTGCTCATAATAAGCAATTTTTGACATTAATAATCGGAACCATAGAATTTTTTATTTAATATATGCTCACTTGTCCCTACTTTTGTGTCCTTAATCCTTATTATAAACTTCCAAAGTTATTCTTTAACAGCGACCGTTTACTTTTAAACTAACATAACACTACTAGTAAGTAGTCTGTAGTATCATATGAAAAAAAAAATCATCCGTATATAAAAAGGAAATTACACTACACAATTAATTAGCAATGATATTATGTGAAAGGAGATCATTCTTTTTGGGCCTTTTTTAAAAGTTCGGGGTGCCATTTTTATATATTAAAAAAATGGGCCTAGAAGCACTTTTAACTGATTTTGTATCATTTCGGGTCGGATTTGATCATATGACGCGAGAGCAAGCAAATGATTTGCTTGAGAAGCTTAACTCTAGCAATATCAATCATTATTTTATGTTTCCTGGCACTTTCAGAAAAAAATAAAGTACCAAAATGATGAATCTTGAAACTTGAATAACTTCTATATCTTGGATCCTACAACTTTTGCGCCATATTAACTATTGTTCCAAATGGTTAGTTCTACAAATATGTACCATTTTTTTTGTTGGCCGGCACTTTCAAAAAAGGCCCAAAAATGTATGAAGCCTGAATGATCTCCTTTATATATACTTGTAACAAATAATCCTGTTTGTTTAGTTTACTTAAACGTTAATTATTGTTTAAATAGTGTAATTTGAGTTTTCTACGACTACTAAGAACTCTCTACCAGACGTAATTATATTCTGAGAAATTGTATTCCAATCTATCATTATAAGACCCTGTTAGTTGCTTTGTAACCAGTAGATGAATAAACCCAACGTACTTCACAGAAATATTTACATTGTAATATCAGAGAACTTCGCTATAATACAATTGTATTTTTCTTATTTATTAAAATAAAATCGAGTAAAAAATCCGATATAGAAAATATATTTCTTTAATATTGTAATGTAAAAGAAATTGCTGATAATATTAAGAAGTAGATATCTTAATCTTTATATCTAAAAGAAAGTCGTGTTAGTTACATTATTTATAACTCAAGAACGTCTGTACGGATTTGGATGAAAATTTTTGGAGAAGGCTTAGAACTGGGGAAAGGACATAAGATACGTTTCATCGTTAAAAAAAAATAAGTCCAAAATAAATCCAAAATTTGCTTATCTACTGTCTTTAAGGAGAAACAGAGTTCGCACGGTCAGCTATACCTACATTTCGAATTCTGAAAGTCACAGACGAAGTTACGGGCAAAAACTAGTACCATTATAACGATATTACATAGTATTCTTAAACTCGTGATTTATGGATCATTAATATTTAAACCTTACAATTTTAAAAACATTTTTAACAAAATATTATATTACTTAAACTTTTTTTAAACAAAGCTGAAAGCAGATAAAAATATTTAAGAAGTTAAGTATAGAAGGTTTAAAACAAACATACTTAAGCGTTAGATTAATTTATTTAAATAATTTTGTTATCTTTAAATATAATTAATGTTATTAATGTTTCTCATTAAAGTGAAAAACATGTTTACTATATCATAAACAACAAAAAATATTAATTTTAATACATAATTCTCTTTGTAATGATAAAACAGTTTAAACATTTATTCTGCTTAACTTACTATATTTAATAAATCAAATAAGGATTCTGTATGCGTACCAAAAGTTCGCGTCTTGACTACATACGGAGCGTTAACAGTTAACAGTATTAACGAGATTAATTAGTGAGAAACAGGAAAAACTTCCTTGGTAAGCAAATTATTGGACAGAAAATAGATCCACTATCGCATGTCGTAAAATAAAGGATTATGTATCGCTGTCCGATAATATAATTTGAAAACTTATACTGTAAATATAAAGAAATGTGAAATCATATGTAGATGGTCCAACAAGTTTCTTACGTTGTTTTAAAATAAAAATAATTTATCGATACTATACTCGTTACTTATAATATTATTATAAAGACTAAAGTACAATTAGACTTTAATTAGGTGTTCAATAGATGTCGTTTGTTAGTTTAAAATATGTGTTCAAAGAAAGCTTTAAATTCTACTAATTGAGAAACTTTCCACATATAATTCAATATATCGGAAGAGTTGAAAAACTGTACGTCTTAAATATAAATAAGATTGCACTTGTAATAAGTAAGAATATGTGATTACGGTCGAACAAAATTAATTTAAACATTGTGTCAAAAGTTGATATGGGGATGAGTTACAAGATAACAAAAATATGCCAGTACGTTGTTTAAACGCTTAAAACTTTTCAAAGTTAGCGACGATAATATTTATTATTGGACTTATAAATGACATAAAATATCAAGACAGTTATTGATTAATAAGTTAAAAATATTTTAGTATAATTTGAAGTTCTTTTTTTTTAACTATCTAATAATAATAATCATTGTAATACACTATAATATACACTTAATCATCATGAGATCTTATTTATCTTTTTTTTAATTAGATTCTACACAATATTGATAGTATTTTTAAAGATAACGATTACATATGTTGTATATTTACAAATAGTAAGTTATTTTATTATTAATAATTTCGATAAATGTACAATAGGTTTTACAGTGGATTAAACAAACGGCTTCGCTAGCTTTATTAAAATTCACTATCAACTTTCCAAATCAAAAGTATAGTATTAATCGACCATAATAGGATTACTTGAAAGGTTTTTTGAATCTTAGCATCACTTAAATATCAGAAAAAAAAACTTTAGACTAGTACGTTGAGATTCAATTAATTATTCATATACAGGGTGACTGGTGAATTACTATCGATATTTGCGGCACAAAATGTATGTTTATTTGTACACCGTACAAAGCAAGTCACCATAGAAATAAATACGACGGCACCCACGTCGCGATAATACTTGTAAGGGCACATTGTATAATAAATAAATGTAAATGTATTACATACCTACCTTTGTTAAATTAAAACAATGCAGCAACACTTTATAGTTTATAACTGAATTAATTTAAAAACTCATTACATATTCTCGTCACTACTCATACGAATATAAATTGAAACTGAAGCTTATAAAGGAAAAAATGTGTGATAAAAAATAATTATCTATCAGGATACAACTGTTTCGTAAATAAATAGTAATATTATATTTATCTATCGTTCTAATTTCTCAGCAACTCTAATTTTATATTTCGGGGATTTCTTGAAATTTCAATACGACTATGATAAATAACAAAGTAATAACTATAATTCGAACTTCAGTTAAAAGGTTATCTTATTTAATAGTGTCCTAACATGGCGCCCGTGACAATAATATAGAAAAGATTTTATTTATAATCTTCAGTAGTTGTTATTATGTTAAAATATTATTATTTTTTCATATGAAAATATAATAATGAGAGGAAATATAAAAATGTATTTACTGTGGTTTGAATGAGACGTCTTTGAGTAAGACATTTTTGTTGTGGTTAAATATATATAAAAATATTAACTATAGAGATTATTCAAAAGATTTCTCTGTTAAGGAAAATTTTTTCTCTGCTTGTGGATTTAGAAATTTAACAAATGAGATTATTTAACAATATATATGGAAGTATCGAGGTTTATCAGAACCTGATTCTAACTTGTTATTCGTAACTTAGGTCATCATCGTCTTTTTAAAGACGTATTTTAAGTAAAAGATTACATAACCAAAAATAAAGTATATTATATAATTATTATGGCTAATTAACAAACATAATGCGATTATTTATCAATTACTAAATAAGGACATGTTATTACTATTATTATTTATAGCACCGCACTAAATCCTTCCGTCGCGCTATCAAATATCGCATTACAAAGAACTACGTAGAGGGGAGTTAGGCCAAAGGCGCTCATAGCGGAAATAGTTGCCGATAATTCATAAATATAATGAAATATGATTAAAAATCTTGGATTATTTTTGTGATAAGCTGACGATACAAACTTGTACTCGCTGTTACTTTTAATGAAGAAAGATAAAACCTCTTAGCATTCAATGGATTCAGGGAGAGGAGCTTCAACAGTGCCTGGGACTTGCGACCCAGATGTAGGTTTAAGGGGCTCCTATCTAACGCGCGTTAAACGCCCACGTCCACAATACAAGCTCCTCTCTCTACCTAACCAAATTTGGAAAGAACCTACTAGGGCTGCCTTCGAAGTACGTTCAAAGAAAAAATTTATGTGAATTCTGGACAGGCCCAAGTCTTTTAGTAACTTGTATAGAGATTTCGCCGTTATACCTCTCGCTCCCATTTCTACCGCGTACACATCCACGACGAACCTATTTCGAGTGACCTCGTAATATTTATTGACCTTGATGGTCTTTGGGGATGTTGGTTTTCCAAAGAAACCGTACCTAAGTTTTATCATGACAACGCGCTTTCAAAATTGGCGAATACGTATATAAATCTGGTCTGGAAGCCGACACACAAATATCTACGAGTATTTTGTATTGTTTCACATATTTTTGAGTAAAAAATAAATAATTATTTATTACATTTTTTAAATCATCGATCGTTTTCAATACTAATGAATGTAAAGGAGTTTTGCTGAAAAACAAGAAAAATGACAGTATCTAGTTTTGGAATTCAATTTCTTATTTGGAATGCAGCCAATCGTGTGAATTAAATTTTCGGAATAATTTTCATAACTTATCAAAAAAAGCCCGATTTTTAATTATACCTAATATATTTTATAAATTATTATTTATTAAAATTCTACAATTTCTTGATAGTTTTTTAAGTTTGAAATGTGATGATTTGTTTTTGAGAGACAAAGTCTAGGACTAAATTCAAAAAATATATGTATATTTTTAAAATAAAATAGGATTTTAATTCTAGTCTAAGATTGTATGTTTATCAGCGGCAGGACACGAAATATTAATTTAGTCTTTAAAAAGCTTTATCCTTACATTGATCTTTGTACAAATTTCGTAACAAGTGCTTCAAAATACGAAAGAAATAATAAAAATAATTAGTTTCTTATCGGAAAATATTATAAAACATCAACATCAACATTTGGCTTTAAAAAAAACTACATAGAATTCTAGGTAGTGGTATGCTAAAATTGTTTTAATTAAAGAACAAAATTTTCTAACTACTATTTTTGTGGTTTGGTTGGATCTCGCTTTATTCTTGTAATTACCTACTAGCATTTTAAAACAAAATATCGAAGTTACGACATATATGCATTTGTAACACAAGAAAACAAGTATAACAAAGCTTACAATAGATAAATCAAATTATTAAAAATTTACTTACTTTTCTAAATTAGACATTAAAGTGTCAAAGAAATATCGAGTAGATCGTTGCAAGTACCAAAAACCTTAACTACATATTAATACAGTAAACATAATATTATGAATTAGAAGACGCCTGAACAAATTTTTCATTTAATATTCTTATGTTGTTTCAAGATTTTAATCTAGAATTTTAGTAAATCAGTGTAAAAAAGAATTCAAAACGTTGAAAAAATTAATTATTAAAAAATATATATTTTCTTTATATATCTCAAAATAACAACAACATTATTTTTAAAAATATTAAATAACTGTATACCATTTTATAGTTTTTGAGTAAAACTTTGTTTTATACACTTTATAAAAAAAAAGTACATCCTTATATAATCTTTATTTTTTAGTCTTTGATAACTTGTGTTGCTAATGCCACTTGCTGATTGATAGAAAGTGTCGTGTGGCATGTTAATTCAGATATACTGTAAAGTGTATTTATTAAACAATAAATAGTTACCCTGTTGTAATGTCAGAACACGTACTACCGGCTGAAGAGCCGATACGATTTGTGGCTCCGATAATTCAAGACAATCCTACAGGATGGGGCCCCTGCGAAATGCCGGAGCAATTTCGAGACATGCCCTACCAACCATTCAGCAAAGGCGACCGACTAGGAAAAATAAGTGATTGGACCATGGTACAGGACAAGAAATACCAAAGTATGTTTTAAAATATCTTCTTGATATATAAAACTAATAATTCTTACAACCAACACCTATCTTTATAGGTTATGAATAGTTATTTCGTATAGATAGAAAACACGGTAAATAAGACTTTTTCTGTCATTCTAGACAAGTATGCATCTCAATTCGGCGCTGGTTCGCTATACGCATACGTACATGATGAGGATGAGAATTCCTTCCATCTGGTTGATACCAAACGGGATCAGAAACCTCCTTACCAACGAGGACGCGCCCGAGGTCAGCGCGGACGCGGTGCTAGAGGCGCCCGTACTCCTGGCGGGATGACAACATTGAGTAAAGTAAGTGAACCATTCATATTTCCTGGTAGTTAGTACTTAATATTAATGAATATCCAGGTCTCGATGATTGAATGAATCTTTTTAAATTGAGATACTGCCAAACTTAAAAAAATTGTCCATATTCCTGGTGGTATGACAACCTTGAAAAAAGTAAGCTAACTTTTATTGTTTCCTTGTATTTAGTCCTTCATAATAATGAATTGTGTCAATTATTGAATGACAGTCTTTTTTATATTGAGATACTGCCAAACTTAAAAGAATTAGTCAAATTAATTAGTTGTCTGTGACCTTAGGGTTACTGATATATATATATATATTCTCTGATAAATAAAAATCATTTATAAATTAAGATATTATAGATCAAGTCTATATATACATTACTTAAAAATATACTATGCATTATTTAATAATATATTGGTCTAAGATATAAAATTTGTTATTAAATTTAAAGCAACAACGAGACCGCAAGCTCGGCAAGAGATGGGGCCAAAGGGGTGCTCCAATGAAGATCAGGGATGCATCAGTCACTGTACGCCCAACCTGGGTCACTATTGAAGATATGGACTTCCCTCGTCTAGCTAAACTTTCACTCCCAGGAATTAAAGAGGGTTAGTTATACAAATTAAATTTACTATGTTCTTTGTAAGGTAAGGCTTAGTAATCATTATGAAAACTATAATAATAAAATTACTTACTATAGATAATGTGAATTTTCAGGTGAAGATATTGTGTGCTGTGGTACTCTTGAGTACTATGACAAGGCATATGATCGTGTCAATGTGAAACATGAGAAACCACTTCAACGTATTGACCGAATCTTCCATACGGTAATAGATCATATAAAGATAATTATGCTATGTATTTTTATATACAGGGTGACTATTATATCTCAAAAATTTCATGCATGCAAAGGAATGTGTTGATTATAATAACCATTTACAAATACACATTTGAATAGATGTTGCTATGCATTCTATTCATTCTATGTTTGCTATTAAAAGTAATTAGAATTGTCATTGTTCAGATACAAACCCTAGTTGTTTGGAGTATCTTAAAAAGTTTTAAATAAATTTGTACATAGACACTAATAGATTTTCCACATGATTATTAATTATTATAAAGCAATGTATTACAATATGGGAGATAACTGAATGCTTTTGCATATACTTCAATCAAGGTGCCATAGTTTAATGAGCAAAGCATCTTAAATGCCATATTTTAGAAGCATCAGATTCAAATCCTACTCTTATTGATGTATTCTCCATTACATATCTCCTACAAAAATTTTAATTCAATTATTTAAGCTAAGTTGTGCTTTAATCTTAAGAATAATACTATATTATAAAACTATCTATATAGGTTACAACCACAGACGACCCAGTGATTCGTCGTCTCAGTAAGACCACTGGCACCGTGTATGCCACTGATGCTATACTAGCCACCATCATGTGCTGTACTCGCTCCAATTACTCATGGGACATTGTTATCGAGAAGATTGGTATGTTAAAAAAAGATTATAAACAAATGAATTAAATTAGGAATTTTTGATTGTGTCTTACAAATCGTCATGATAGTGCAAAATCCTCGTAACTACTGTTTAATAATTCCGTGTATCTATATTGGAAGTAGATTATCAAAAGAAAGTTTAAGTTGAAATATTTTCGATATTAAAGAATTTTAAGGTAATTTTTGCGCAATTGGTAATTGTTTAGAGTTTAATTTATTACTTATTGTGAAAAATTACCTTCAAAGCATTAAAGTGTTATTGTGAAAAATTACCTTCCAATGTAGATACGCGGATTTGCACTATCCTCAACGAAATAATATATGTTTAGACAAAATTATATACTTATATTACAATAAAAAATGTTTCTCTAGCCTGAACACAAATAAAAGCAATTTTTATTAGTAGTATGCATAATGGAAATTATTTTAAATATTCTATATCTATACTTTTCATCTAGAAACAATTTACTAAGCAGTATTTTGGATCATTTGACTCTCATACAGACTTAGTTCATTAATTTTATATCTACTATTGTTATTTATTAAGACTAAAATATTGTTTTTAGGTGACAAGTTGTTCTTGGACAAGCGTGACAACACTGAATTTGATTTGCTGACCGTCAATGAGACTTCAGTCGAGCCTCCAGCCGATGATGGGAACTCCATCAATTCTCCTCGTAACCTGGCACTTGAAGCTACTTTCATCAACCATAACTTCAGTCAACAGGTATAATAATTCTCATTTAACCTAACTACTACTAAAGTAATATCTAATATATAAAATTCTCGTGTCACAGTTTTCGTGCCCATACTCCTCCGAAACAACCTGACCGATTTTGATGAAATTTTTTGTGTTTATTCGGTAGCTATGAGAATCGGCCAACATCTATTTTTCATCCCCCTAAATGTTAGGGGTAGTCCACCCCTAAATTTTATTTTTTTATTTTTTAGACAAAATTTTTAATTACTATTTTTTTATGATACAACGTACAAAAATACATACAATCCTAAATTTTCACCCTTCTACGATCAACCCTTATTTTTTAATAGCTATTTTAGTAATTTAATCATTTTTCATCTCCGGTCGATAACTGATCAATCGTCATTTAATAAGTTATCCCCGCCAGATATCTACAGGTGTCACTTCTGACTTAGTAAACAGCACGGAGTAGGGATGAGAACGAAGCCGGTCTTCTGTTTCTCTCACACAATTAGACTTCTCTCACTCCCTACACAGTTGTCGGCCATCGTTATTGTTTGTGCATCAAGTGTAGTAGTAACGTTGACAATTATTATTTTGCTAGCTCAGTGTAACTCTCATATTAACTATTAATCATTCCTAATCACTTCAAAACACGGAGATTTATGGCTTTAATAGGTAAACTCCAAAAATATAAATAAAAAAACGTAACAGATATTTCTTGATTATAGGGCGAAACGAAGTTCGCCGGGTCTTCTAGTCTTATATATAAAATTCTCGTGTCGCGGTGTTAGACACAGAACTCCTCCGAAAGGGCTAGACCGATTTTGATGAATTATGTGGGCACATTGAGTAGGTCTGAGAATCAGCCAACATCTATTTTTCATACCTCTGAATCATAAGGGTTGTTCACCCTTATTTTTTTTATTTTCGGACGATTTTTTTGTTTTTATTGTTTTATAATGTAGTATTAAAAAATACATACAACCCAACATTTTTACTTTTTTATCACCAACCCCTTCTTTTTTATATGGCAAAACAACAATTGCCGCGTCAGCTAGTATTAAATAAAAATATGTATCAGTCAACTTAAAAATTGACTTTATCTTACAATAGATGTATAAATATCTGTAGGGAGAAAAGATATCGTGATTGTGAGATATGATTGATATTTTTAATAAAATTTAATAATTCACTAGTTCTCTAACTTAGTTTTGTTCAAGTGAAACAAAAGTTATTATTCCTTAGCTTTTATATTATGAAGTTAAGAAGCAAAATTTAAACACACATATTTTCGTTTCAGGTTCTTAAATCTGGATCCAACGAACCGAAGTACAAATTCCAAGAACCGAATCCTTTTGTCTCCGAGGAAGAGGATGGTGAGGTCGCTTCTGTTGGTTATCGCTATCGTAAATGGAATCTTAATAATGGAGTGGTAAGATAGTTTATTCTTTAGCATTATAGTCAGCTTTAGAACTTTATTATCTTAATAATCAATTATGACTTACAAAATAATAATATACTAAGATTCTCCCTTAATCCAGGTTTTGGTAGCTCGTTGTGAGCACGACGCAGTGATGCAGGGTCCACAGAATGAGACCCAATTCCTTAGCATCAAAGCCCTGAATGAATGGGACTCTAAGATTGCTAACGGAGTTGAGTGGAGGCAGAAGTTGGATACACAGAGAGGTGCTGTACTAGCCAACGAACTAAGGAATAACTCGTGTAAGCTCGCTAAATGGACTGTACAGGTAAAGAGAATTTTATTAACTGTATATCCCTTTCTTCGAAATATACGTAGATACGAAACAAATGACTAGCATAGTAAAAGCTTATGTTAGAGAAATTAATTTGAACACGTATGACGCTGAATAATTTAATATCAAACTTTATGCAAGTAACAACACTTCTTACTCAAGTTCTAAATGTAACTAAAAACAGACTTTCAACATTTAACCAGACAACAATATAATATAAAAGAAGTTAAGCATTTTCTTTTCACACTAATAAGTTTGTTTAAATCCCCACGCTTTACGAGATCTAATACTTTCGCGAGCATTTATCTTTAAATCAACTAATATATATCTTATATATAAAATTCTCATATCGCGGTGTTAGACAAAGAACTCCTGACTTGACCGATTTTGATGAAATTTTGTGAGCATATTGAGAAGGTCTGAGAATTTACCAACATCTATTTTTCATACCCCTAAGTCATAAGGGTTGTTCACCCTCAAATATTTTTTTTCGGACCAAATTTTTTATCACCAAACCCTATTTTTTATATTTCAAAACAAGGTTTGCCGGGTCAGCTAGTATTGTATATATAATATAATGTTTTCCAGGCGTTGCTGGCTGGTTCGGACCAGATCAAGTTCGGCTACGTGTCTCGTTCCCAAGTCCGCGACAACTCCCGCCACGTGATCCTCGGGACTCAACAGTTCAAGCCGCACGAGTTCGCAGCACAGATCAATCTATCTATGGACAACGCATGGGGCATACTGAGATGTATCATAGATATATGTATGAAGCAGAAGGATGGTGAGTTATGATGATTTATTTCCTGCTCGTTAGTCCCTATCATATAAAAAAATATACGTAGGTAGGTATTTAGGCATATCGTGGATGATAAAATACTTTTACGTGTTTTATATTTGTTAAGTGCATTAGGTGAATGCAATATATTTATTTTGTATGAGAAATGACATTTATAAAAGGAGTTTCAGAAATAGTAACTGAAATTCCACTTCGTTCAACTTGTAGCTCAGAAAAAAAATATAAGATTGTAAATTACATGTTAACAACCATATAAATTTAGTAAGAAATAACAATATACCCTACCAAAGATTGAATGCAAGATTTAATAACCCCTTTTGGTTTCTAAATAAGCCATGTCTATTAAGTTATAATTTAGAATTTATTATCGAAATAAATCAAATAATATAAGTTTGAAGTAAACTACACCTTGAGAATTATCCACGAAAGACGTTTATTCCAGCCTGGTTCACTAAATGTCTATTTCATACATACGTCATTTTCATTTCATAAAATCTTCGAATACTTCCGAATACAAACGTTATCATTATAATTTCCAGGTAAATATCTTATAATGAAGGATCCTAACAAGCCATTGATCCGTTTGTACGACATCCCCGACAACACTTTCGAGTCGGATGCTTCGGAAGAAAGTGGGGATGAACCAGCTGACACGCCCTTCGCACCGCTATACTCTTATGGGAACTCCAAGAGAATTTAGTCTATGGTCAGACGTTCTACATCTACCGAGATTTAGTCTATGGTTAGACTTATAAAACCTTGTATTACAATGTATTCAGTAAATACTTTTGGTCACATTATGAGTTTTATTACAATAAAACGAGTTATGTTTAAATTTAAATAATGTATTTTATATAAAAATATACATTTGGTTTTCACTTTGGCAATACATATTATATATTATATATAGTTTATTTGTAAATTTAACTTCATTTGAGTATTTTGTTAAAGAAAATAATAATGAAACATTATATTTCGAGACCACTAAAAGACTTCAAAAATATATAACATATTTTACTATATGCTTTTTGTATACGTAAAATGTAAATATCATATGTTAGTTTTTTTGTACTTAATCATATGCATTACTTACAAAGATAAAAAAAAATCAAAACAGTTTACCCTGTTATCTTAACCATAAAAACAAATGTGATGTTTTATTCACATCCATATAAATATTTAACAATCTTTACAACTCATGAATAAGGCAACAGTATGAACACAGTATGTAAATTCTTAACTGGAAAAAAAAACATTATTAATGAGGTTTAATTATCCGTCTTGTTTAGTCTTTTTTTTTTTTTTTTTTGATGACGTAGTGGAAACTCTTTTTACGAGCCGTCCAACCGGCCTTGGTGGGGCCGGAAGGGATGTGTGAGGCTCGGCCTGGGCAGGCCCCTACTCACTAAAACCACTGCGAAAGCCATCGGCCGCTATGTCGGTGTACCCCGGATCTGTCAGCGACAGGGCACACCAGCGACTGGCCGGTCCTGGCAAAGACCGGACTTACTCCCTCGGAGAATGGGGGCGATCCCGGCAATTAGGACCACCCCGACGACGCCGGGCTTTCAAAAGGGCCGGGTTACCACGCCGACCCCAACCCGGAACACAGGGGTGCTATTGGAGGCGTAGGAATTGCCTCCGTCGCACCCCCGTACGTCGCCTGCGGGGGGAGGGAGCATCAGCCGCCCTCTCCCTTTCCCGCTGAGATGCCTCCTTCGTGGACATGACCGTCTCACAGAAGGAGGACACCGCCAACCAGGACCCATCACTCTCGAGCATCTTCTCCACGACACTCGAAAGCGACAGGTCCACTCCGCCGAGAGCCGCCACAAGGTCTTGGCGCTGCGCAGCCCATCTCGGGCACACCTCGAGGGTGTGCTGGGCCGAGTCCACCGCAGCGCCGCACTCATGGCAGCCTTCTCCCGGCTCTCTCCTGGCCGTCCGACACAGGTAGTAACCAAAGCACCCGTGCCCGGTTAAGACCTGCGTCAGACGGAAAGTGAGGGGTTTGCGTTTCCGCCTCATCCAACGCTCTAGGACCGGGCGAAGCGCTGCCGTTGTACGTCTACCGTACGGCTGCTCCGCCAGGTCCTCCCCCCACTCCCGCATAAGGCGCTCCTCCCCCTGCCGACGAACCGCTCGGATCTCCTCCGACGAAGGGTTCTCGCCGAGTGCCCTCCTACCCGAGACATAGGAGAACAACTCGGCTCGAACCGACGCCACGAGATCCCAAGGCGGATCGCCGGCAAGGGCAGTCGCTGCGGCCCAGGAGACCGTACGGTACCCCCTAATCACCCTCACCGGTCTTGTTTAGTCTTTCTATTTCAACCGCAGCCTCTTGCATGTTATCTTGGACTTCCTCTAATGTTTTTCCCTTAGTTTCGGGAACAAAGAAATATATGAAGAACACTCCAAAACCAGCTACGGCGGCGAACGACCAAAACACAGTGTAGTGACCAAAAACATCCTTAATACCTTGATAGGACTTAGTCACGGAAAACGCTAACACACAAGCAAGCATGGTCGCCATACTAGAAGCAATCGTCTTTACGTTCATAGGGAATAACTCCGCTTGCATTATATATGGCAAGTTTCCTAAACCGGCTGCATACAAAATATTAAAACCCAGCACACCGATTAACGGCAACGAAGATATAGATGATAAAACCTCCTTGCTGACGACTACAGAGTCTTGTAAGAAAAAGTATACACCGACCAACGTTAGAGACATGGCAACACCGAGGCTCGATAATAGCATGAGAATCCGTCTGCCGAAATAGCCAGCCAGGAATGTAGCGCCGATACCTGAAATACAATACGCAATATTATAAATACTACACTTTTCATATTAACTCATGTTTATGTTTTGTAAATAAATATTTGTCTAACAAAATCCAATATATGTATAATATAAAATTCGTGTTCTAAAAGAAATTATGAAAAGTAACAAATAGTAGTAACAGTAGTATTGACAAAAAAATACGCAAAGATGACATTATAAGTACTAGAATAGCACCTATTACAAGATATAATCAGATTAAAATTTCATTTCAAATTCTATAATAGTACCTAACAAAATATAATCAGATAAAAATGTACTGTAATTTTGATATCTATAATGGCATGGAAACAGTTAATACAAATCTTATATACAACAAGTACATTCAATACTAATAAAGATATGAAACAAGTGTTCAGGAAGTAAAATACATACATCTTATCAGTTATCAAATACTATATATGTGTACACAGCTTAAAATTAGACTAAATATTATATGCCATACATATATGTTCATTGATTTATATTACCTGCACCAAGTTGGACAAAGCCATAAACAATACTAGCGTACGGCCCGGATATAGAACTGCTCTGACGGAATATCACCTCCAAATATGATTGTATAGCCAAACTACCGGTCATATACTGCAAGACTTTTAAACCTGTTGTACAATTAAATATTAATAGATTAAAACTTGCAAGGAAATCCTAAAAACATTTAAACTAAACCAAAAAAGTATTAGATTTCACCAGACAAAATAAACATGCCTTACTGATTTTTTTTATTTACACTTATTTGTTATGCTGATATAATTCGTAAATAAATGATACCTAGTATATTTGTAAAAAAAAAATAAGTTGATAAATGAACCATATTCTTTATTATTTCTAATGTAAGGTTTAATTTTATTTGAACATAAATATAGACAACTTTGTTGCAAAGTAAATATTAGGGCAAATCTATACTAATATTATAAAGCTGAAGAGTTTGTTTGTTTGTTTGTTTGTTTGTTTGTTTGTTTGTTTGAAAGCGCTAATCTCCGAAACTACTGGTTCGAATTTAATAATTCTTTTTGTGTTGGATAGTCCACTTATCGAGGAAGGCTGTGGGCTATATAACATCACGCTATGACCAATAGGAGCAAAGATATAGTGGTAAATGTGTAAAAAACGGGAGAAATTATTTCATCTTTGAAGCCTTCCGTTGCGTGCGCCGTGAAAACGGTTCAAGATACACAAAAATATGTATGAAAGAATAATAGCTCTTTTAATGATCTAAAAAACAGTCCACGACAGTATATGTCTATCTTTTAAGATTAACTCACAAAAACCGTTTTTATGGTACCTAATTTGGTCGAAATAATTTGTTTAAGTTGTATCAACATAATAATATTAATCTTTATTCAAATAAACAAATAAATATGTTTTTAGTTAAGAGTACTTCATTGTGAATAAAAAAACATAGGTTTTATCCTGAAAATTCTACGGGAACTATGTGGGAAGAATCTGCCGGGAACTATGTGGGAAGAATCTGTCACTATTCCACGCAGACGAAGTCGCGGCAAAAGTACGCAATATGCACTGTCAATATTCACAAGGACTTTGCAAAGCTACAGCAAATAAACAATAGAAGGCAGTTAAATATATATCTATATATGTGTGTGTGTGTGTATGTATAGAAAAATTAATAAAATTAAAGGACTTCTATTACCAGCGATTATGTAGATAGCTCTCCTATACTTCATGTTACTGATCAATTCTCTGAGAGTGCTTCTATTCTCCATACTCTCTTGAACATGCACCCTCATAATATCCATTTGTTCGTCAGCCCACTGTTATAATTCACGATAATTATCACTAAATTTACTATATTTTAATAAGTAGTATCAAACATACCTTACTGTCATTGGAACCTTTCAGAAACAGAAATGATTTCTTTGCGGCAGCTACGTTTCCTCTCGCCAAATGGTAGTAAGGTGATTCCGGTACCCAAATACATAATAGGGCGAAGAACGCAGATATGAAAAGTACTATCGAGTTCAAAACAGTGTATGGCACGAACGGCCCTATACCATAAATGACCAAACTTCCCAAATTATTCATAACCTGTACCAACATTCCCAGAGCTCCTCTAATTTCTTTATCAGCTATTTCTGTCAAATAAATCATTGTCACCTGAAATAAAATTATCGTTAATTAAAATTAATTAATAATTATTCCCATCCATGAACTATTTTTAAATGAAAATGACGTTAGACATTGAATAAAATAGTTTTATTCGGCGAAAAATTCTGCTGAATCTCATTAGTGTAAAATCTATATTCCAGGGCGTGTTTTTTTGTTTTGCATTCAATAAGATGTATCCCCAAATATTATGATTCAATCAAAAACTATTCACGTCTATTTAAGATTTTTTATAATAAACGAAAGATATTTTCTGTTAATACTTACAACTGCTGTGATACCATTTGCAATGCCCATCAGAATCCTTGCAAAACACATCAGCAATGGGGATTTTGTGAATAGAATGGTCAACTGAAAATAAAGCAATAATTATTCAATACATTTCACGAATAGTTCAATATTAATAAACTATTTTACGTGCAACAATAATACAACTCTTTGATAAAAATAATCTTTGATTATATGTAATCAAAGAAATACTTCGTTTTATTTTTTATTATTATTATAATTTTTTTCTCAAGTATAGAAAGCATGTTTTTTTTCAAAAACGGTTTGTTGAAAAAATATTCTTTTTTCAAAAACAGTTAATTGATTTGAAAAGTTCTTGACTGGTAATAAAATTTAATCATAACACCAAATACTTAATTGATATTTCAGGCAAAAAAATTGTAATAAAAAAAAATTAAAATGTTTATCTTATGCAAGAATTGTGTTTAATTATTATATAACAACTATTTATTAGTAGATTTTAATATTTATTTAATAATTTCTCTGAGGTCGGAGATCATTTTAAATTTGCACCATATACATACTTACGATTATTATACTAAGACGTGATGAATGAAGTTCATTTATAACTTTGATAACATAAGTCTTACTACGTTGCTTCTGACTAAGAATGAATAGAACAAGAACCACACTGACGGAGAAAGAAAATATTTAAATTTGGAATAAACTTAAAGAAATGTACATATAATTATTGATTTTTATAATTATGCTTAATTTATATCTCGGTGATTTAAATAATAAGCTACCTTTTGTTTTATATATGTGATATTTTCATTCTACAATAACTGACACAGATATTTTACATACAGCCATAATAAAAAAAGGTTTTATTTATGAACGTACCGCACCTACAAATCCTGGAACAGCGGCCAGGATTATGGTTTTTCGACGTCCTACACGCTCGCTCAGCTCCCGGCCAAAGTAACATCCGGGCAATGACCCCAAGGCCGATACCGATACTGCCCACGATGTTTGTGCCTGTTCAAGAATAAGCAGGAATTAATTAAAATTATATCGTAAGACGCCAATAACAGTATTTTTTTACTTACATCTGAAATAACAATGTTCGCATCGCCATTTTTGAACTTTGGAATTGCAGGTGAAGCCCAAGTATTTACAGCACCAGTAAACGTGAACGCCAATGATACTACCGAGAACCGATAAATAATGTTTTGATTTACTATTGTATTAATAGCTTCATTATTTTAAATTTCCCGCCCATCACTTACCACACAAACCCGCCAAATATTGCACTTTTCTATTTGTTTTTGTCATCACGACAACTTAATATTCACAAATAAATAAAAATGTTAATTATGATAAGACATTAATTTGCATTTATTTTTAAGTCTTTAGTCACAACAACACACTATCGGAATGCCAGAACTGAGAACACAAATAGCAACTTGCTTCCATATAGACAAATTTGTCTCATGTTTACACAGATATCATTATCATCAATGACATCACTATTGTAAATCTTCCGTGTAATTTTAAAGTTTCTGTTGTCGAACAAAATGTTATCTGTGGTAGAATTTGTATTTTAATAAAAAATATTTTTTTATTCGAACGTTGATGTCATAAAACCATAAATACATAATTAATAATACAAAACAAACATTTTAACATAATAGCAATATGTATTTATAGTAGACTTGTCGATTGTTTTACATTTCTATATGCACAGTGTATACCCTGAACAAAAATTTCACAGTTATCGTATAGTATCTTAGTATTGCAGTGTTGCTGATGGAAACTAAACTAAGATTTAGATTCCAATGGAGATAATTATTAATTTGTAATAAAAAAGATGTTTAGTAATATTATTTATAATAAAAAAATTATAATTTACAAAATTTCAAAAATACTCAGTAACCCATTTATGATAACTTTATGACAATAAGTTATTTTGCGCACGCCATGCTAAAATCAATTATTGTCAAAATATTAACCGTTTCAAACTTAATCTACTTGTACGATGTGAAAAAAAGGTAAATTAATCAAATTTATATTTATTTATTTTCATACTAAAACTGATAAAAAGCCCTTTTGTAAACTATAATAGTCATAAAAGATTACATATTTATTGACATCCGCCAGCGATAATTGCCAGTAGAAAAAAAATGTTATACATTGCACACGATACGGACATACCTAGCAATTTATCAACTTAAAAAAAGAGATTCTCAACCAAGTTAACCACCAGGCGCCAGTTGATATAAATATAAGTTATGCGATATTAATATTTTTGAAGTCAAAATAAAAAATTAATCTCTTCAGCACTTCATAACTTCGTGGAATAAAAACGTCTAAAATTTGAATTTCAGATGCTTTCATTTTCATAAATACATGATGTATTCAATTATGAATAGAACTATTATTCATTTTCTTTGACCATTTGTAATTCAGCTATTAATAAAATGTTAGATATTATGCAAAACATAGGTTTCCAAATCCAGATATTAAAATTATGACATCAATTTTGTTATTTTCAATTATTATACCATAAATGAATCTAAAAAAGAGAAGGTTATAATACTTGTGTATACTCTTCAATAACGTGAGAGTGGTACAGTGTATGTTTATTTCATAGAAATTGGTAAATGGAATAACAGATCGCCATAAACTATATAAAGTTATTGTATTCGCTAATTATAAATGATATGATAGCTTTTAGAGATTAATGTTATTAGCATACAGCTCAAAATTAAAGATGACATCGACTTTAACAATAGTTTAAAATAATATATAACAATAGTTTAAAATAATATATAATAATAACTTTAACAATAGTTTAAAATTGATAAAAAAATACTACTATAAAAATAAATTAATCTCAATGTTATTATCATATTAATTTATGAATAAATAATTTACACATATAACTTCGTTAATTTATATGACTTTTTTAATAAATATAAATTGAAAATATGATGACATCAAGGAAGTAAGCTCAACTATTAACTTTCGATTATAATATGAACCCAGTACATGTATGTATGCATGGTAATTTTTCTATAAAAATGTTATTTATAGTATGATTGATCTTTCATTGTATAATCTATACAAATTTTATACCATCTTTTAACTAGATACTATCTTTAAAAATACTCTAAATATTTATTCTCACTAAAATAAAAGCAGTAATAAAACTTTATTGAAGTTTTAAAAGTTTATAAATTAAACACTGAGTTATAAATTATAATATATTTGAAAACTGATACAATTTAATTGAAATTAACAATTTTGCTATGTAATATTTATGGTGGATTATAGTCATCTGGCATTTTATTCATAATATTTACAAGTTGCATCGCGACCATTGGGCTGTTAGTGCATATATCTGTAACCTGGTATGGAGGTAAGATTATTACATTCCCAAAAACGATGTTGTCATTCATTTCAGTAACTGGTAACAAATTTTCTTTTAACCATCCAAGAACCTTCTGTTTTCTATTGGTTGTGCAAATTACTGTTGAATCCATAGATTTCTGTTTTTGAATTTTTATACTCGAATCCGGTTCCTTAATACAGACATCAAGAATAGCATGACCTGGTATCAATGTTGTTCTAACCTTGTCTTCTTGAGGCATTAATATAACCATGCTAATGGGAAAACATAGGTTTATTAATTAAAATAAATTTTCTAAATATGTTAGAGTATTCACATAAATATTTACCTGTAGTCTATAGGATCAATAGAATTAATGAAACCTGATAGTATTGCGTTCTTTATAAGTTTTATTTCTACATATTTATGAATCAAAAGCAATAGGTTCGAAGGATTTAGTTTAAGTTCTTCAAAACTAGATACACTTGTTAACTCCATTCTTGTATAACTGATTTATCAAAATTTAATTTTAATTGTAATCTCAAAGCCAAAATAATGAACCATTTCTACTAATCTACTGATAAATGCAAATAAAAATTAATAATATTATCCCACGCAGTTCACTTCAATACCGCTCCAACTATGATTATTCACCAATTTCTTATACACAAACATAAAATTTAAAACAACTCAAAAATCAATGGCCATTATAGTTCAAATTGTAACTAAACAACTTTTAACTAACAACTATGACATATCTTTGACATTCACGAATACATATAGATATAGACATATAGTACCTACTACATACGCAATTTTATATTTATACTCAAAATATTATACACATCAGAGCTTTTTTTTTATGGTAATGCTATTTTTTTACTTTGTATGCGAGATAATTTGATTTAAAAAAAATATATTTTACTTATTTACTTCTTTGTAATGTACCTACTTGGTAACTTTCAACACTTATTTTGAAGTTCAAATATTTTTTATGAACTATAAACAAAGCCCTTAAAACAGTTTTAATATATTCTAATGAACTTGGGTTTATAAAATTTTTAGTATTTATCTTTTCATATCGCAGTTACATCCAGGACCAAAATTACGTTTATTATATTGTCACTTTATGTTTAACCCCAGGATGTCAAGTTGTCTAATAGATAGTTAAATGATTAAAATTACACCACACATGTAACAGCTCATAAGAGCGTGAGTATACCTAATCATCAACTAGGCATCAATTAAATATGTTAGTGGTAGAGAAAAATGTTAAAAAAAAAAACAACAAATGTAAGCAAATATTTAGTAAGATGAAGAAATTAATATAATAATTCCAATAAGTAATATTTCAGCTTATTTGTAAATTATTAAACCCACTCAGTTGTTCTTAATTTCAACTCATCAGCATTCCTTACATTATTGTAAGATTTATTATAAAAATGAAGTATTTGTGTTCATTGCAAAATAAAACATCTTTAGTAATATTTATTATTTTTATTTTTTAAGTGATCAATTTCACAAATTAGTAGAAGTAGTATGATAGATAGACAGCTTTTATAATAACTACATTAGTAAGCAAAATTAGATAAAATTATGAATTGGATAAAATTATTTTTTTGGATTATTATGTTTCTTCCATGGACCTTTGGGTCCATTTGGACCATGAGCTACAGCCGAGGGACTTTTACCTCTAAAATTTTGACGATTCTTAGCAACATTCGGATTAACTGGATGTACATTTTTATTTGGATCCTTTTGATAGTTTGGTCTCATTCTTTGCACATTCAAAGAGAATGATACTGATTTTTTGTTAATGAAAGTTCCCAGCATGCTAAGAGGCATAACACAACATTTGGATTGTTGGAAAATCTCTTTTGTTTCCATTGCATCACTAAAGCAATGATCAAAATAATTGACTTTTCGTTCCTTGTCTTGAGAACTAATTATACTTAGTTCATAAACATGTTGTTGAGCAATTTTGTTACAACCTATAAGTTGTACAGCAAAAAATGCTAATTTCAAGCTAATATCAATTTTCAATGTTACTATGAACATCATTTTTCCTTGTGGCATAATGTACATGAAGCGGTCATCTTCATTAATGTTGAGATTATCAATGGTCAGTTTCTCACCTGTGGTCATAATCAAATTCTGAGGATGGCGTTCCTTAAAGTGATCTAACATTTCTTTTAGTTTTCCTGAAAAAAATATTTTATTAAAAATTACAATAAATAAATACAATATTCATTAAAATGCAAAATTATCTTTACTTGAAGAAAAAAATATCATTGTATGCTTTAAAAACATATGAAACTAAGAGGTTTTTTACCTGACCAGGAACATCTGCCAAATACATGAAGAGGGCAAGTCATCTCCCGATAAATACATTCTTTAATATGATTTTCCATATTTGATGCAACAGTTGTATAAGTACAACCTATGACCCTATTCGGACAGTTTTTAGTAGCCTATATAAAAGAAATATCATTTTTATACTCACAATATAAAAAATAAGCATTTGAAATCAAGTTAATTTGATAATGATACTTACTAGCTTAATAGTACATAAATTACATTTTAATAATTGCAAATTGATTTTGTCATTAATGTTAACTTCACCAACCTTCAATAACAAATCCTCGAGCGACCAATTTCTCACTTGAGTCATTGCCTGACGGCATAAAGGACACAAGGGAGGCACCAAAGCCTGGGTACAAGTGTTGCATAGACTGTGACCGGATTGACATTGGAATATTGGTGCTGACATGGTGTCCAAGCAAACCGGACATTCAGGCAACTCAACAACTGGTCCCATTCTAAGTAAAAATAAGAATTGATCTGTTGAAAATCTACATTAAACATACTTTTTATTAATTCATTTAAGTATTAAAACAAATAAATGTCTATAATCACAATGAATGAATCAAAAAGAAATATCTAAATGATGTTACTTTAAAATACTTGGTAATTAATATGTTAACCATAAAACAAATCGTAAGTTATAGAAAACATGTAATCAAAACGTATCTTTCTAGTTTCTTTTTTTTTGATTTTATAATAGGCAGTTAAGTCTTTAGAAGTTCAATGTAATGTTTTGAGATTAATTAAAATGCAAAAAATACTTACTTCTGGTTAATCTTCGCTTTCGCCATTTTTATTCTACGTTGTAACTTGTAAGCTAAAAGATTGAAGGATAAAACCGTATATAAGTCTTAATAACTCTTTAAACTAAATTATATATTGTTACTTGTTACACAAAAATTGTAATAAACAATAAAAGAGACAGTTTAATATTAAATCCAATACACTACTAGCTGTAATCTAGAAATAAAAGATAACAAAATCCACTTCAATTGTTATATACATACACTGATGTTGATATTATAGATGTTAACGTATCGTTAAGCGCGTACTGCAATGATAAACTGACCGATCGACTGACGATAGGGAAAATAATACTTATGAACAACATAGGTACATATATTGATATGAAAATATGCATCAGTTCGGGGAATTCCCCTAATTAAGTTTGAGTTGCCATGATAAAAATATTTAAGATATAAACAAAATGAATTTTAGATATAAATATATGTATTTTAATGATTTTAGGCTTATGAACAAAAATGCAAAGTAATCATTATTAATAATTTCTTTTTGCATTATGAAAATTATTAAAATTTATCTTCAATCTTTTTTTAAATATTATATAATCTTTTCTTTAATATAGCTTAATTTTATATATTTCCAATGACGGGACGTTATACCTTGTATTTTTTATATAAATATATGGCTGATAATTAAATGTCATTAGGCAATTAAATTTTTCAACTTTAGTTTATACTTTGTACCCACAACTGAAATATCCGTTATCTCTTATATTGCAGCAATGATGAATTTACAAAAATAAACCTAATAAAAATAAATCGATGATCGTCGATTCATCGATTCTGTAGAATCATCGATAGTTTGACTTTCAATAGTTGTCTCATCGATATAATATACTAATGGACATGCCTTAGAGATGAGAATCGTGGCACTCCGAAAGGAAGAGAGGAAACGAAGTTTATCTTTCTCAAAATAGTACCGTACGTCCGTACCTAAGATGTTATGAGCCCCGTCTGGATAGTTTATTATTTCCTAATCTCATATACAGCTTTACATTTAACCTCACTTTCTCTGATTTTTAGCATTTTTAGTATTAGTGATGTATGAATTATACGGTTAAATTAATTATTTTAATCAATAAATTTAAATTCGTGTATCTATGAATTTTTTATTTTTTTATTTCGTAGATTTAGCTCATTACTCGAATATACAAGAAGGTTCTTAAATACATTTATAACCATATAAAATGTTATATACATGTATATTAATAATTATTAAAGAATCTATTTAAATACTAATAATTACCCATACAAAAATAATTTATTTATTCATTTTTGTAGAGTGACGCGATGCCAGCGCTTATAGTTAAGGGAGAAATAAATTTATATGCCGTGCTTGACATGAAAACTGAGCGCCAATCATCTATGAGGAAAGAGATAGCGCTAGACCGAAAGCATAGACCATCTCCCTCACTCCCTTCAAACCAAAAAATTACTGCGGATTGTACGCGTACGGCATGTCCATTAGTATATGTCGATGGTTAACACTTAACTATTCAGAATATCGATAGTATCGTCACATGTTAATGCTATCGATAGTATGTATTAACATGTGACGATACTATCAATTATTATTAGTGATTGTAGTAACTATCAGTTTTGCTTTTACTATCGATTTAAAATCGATAACCTATCGATAAACACCACTAGGACCAGTGGCGTAGCTAGCGTACTGCGTAGGTGGCACCGGGGACGGATTTTAGTACGAGGTATGAAATTTGGGGGAATTTCTGACCGATTGACAATGTTCACATTGTTTTTAAATATCAATTTATTTTTACCTAGATTATTTTATTAGTGGCGGTTATGATCTCTGAAACAGATTTACGATTGTTTTATAGTGACACCCGGGGTGGGCCTTCCCCTAGCTACGCCACTGATTCGGACCTAGTTAATATCTGTGTTTTTGCTCAAGTGAATCCGAATAATAGAAACTGCATTGTTTTTGTTTAATTAGTTCTCATTACGATTGTATTTGTTTTTTTAAGTGAAATATCTTATTTGAATTAACAACAAAATGCCATCTAACAAATTTCAGGTGATTGAGAGTGATTCTTATTTATTTCAACATGAAGTTATCAATCCTGGGAACTGGGGGTTGAATGCAAGTCGCTAATCAGCATAGAGAAGAACTTCTATCAATCGCAGACGGGAAAACATCGTCACCGGAACGTGTTTTCTAAAACTGGAGTATTAAGACTGGACCTTTTGACTTTTGTCCACCAAGTAACACTATAGCATTGTTTTTTTTATTTGATAATTACTTATACTCTGGTATTCAGAAATGTTCTTGATATTCATCTTGTTAAATACTACGTGTAGTATTTTAGGTAAAACAATCTCTTACAAGTACAGTGAACCATACAATTTTCTTTCATTTCTGGTTCCGACGCAACTTTTTGATATGAAGTATTTCTATTAAAAACGTCTATTTTAATTGTCTTAATTTGAAAACATATATTTAAATATGAATGAACATCACTAGTGATTATTAAGTAATCAATAAAGTGATTATTAAGTATCACAAACATTGACAAAATAAATATTTTAATGAAATACATGTAGAAACTTGCCCTATCAACATTATTTAAGACTTACTGATGCCTACTTGTTTATCAAGATACTAAAAACTAAAAATAATGTATAGGACATTATTCAAAGTGAATATTATAGTAACATATTTCAAATAAACTCAGGGGTCCATAATTGTTGGCATTTTACATGACGGCACCTTAAGAACTTAGTACTCCTTTTAAAGAATTCAAACTGATCACATTTACATAAAAAAAAAAAACAGAATAGCTGGCTAATCACATTTACAAATAGCAAGTTAATGCTTTAGTAGTTAAAATAAAGACTTGATTAAACACCTTCCAAATTAATATTTTATATTATGTTCGTACAGATTTTTGTTTTTTTACAGTGGGAGATATTTTTTTTCAAAGACGGCATGTGTTTTAAGCTTTTATTGTCTTAAAGTAATCATTTCTTAGATTTAGCTTCCCTTGCAGCTTTCCTCTCTGCAGCGCGTATTAACTGCTTGGCTGGCTTCAAATTACCCTTTTTGCAAAACCTCTGGTTTCTTAAGAATTTAGGGTCCATCTGAAAAAAAACATTGTATTGATTACATACTGTTGCTATATAAAATATATTTATACTAGTTTTTGCCCGCGACTTCGTCCGCGTTAGTTTGGTCAAGAGTAATATATGTAGGTATAGCTGACCAGGCGAACTCTATTCCGTCTTAGAGGCCATAAATAATCAGGTTTTTCCTGTTTTAATCAAACAGAATGATTGACATATTAGTTAGTTGTCAAATCTAATGCCAAAAAAAACGTTTGTATGGGAAATAGAAAAGGGCTGTTTTTAGGGTTTTCCCGGCAATTATTCCAATTTTTCTCACCTTTTAAACCTTTCCTGAACCTCCACGAACATTTTAAGACTGAGATAAGATAAATCCGTTCAGCTGTTCTCGAGTTTTAGCGAGACTAAGGAACAGCAAACCATTTTTATATATATAGAAGATTAATTTTATAATTTTTAAATGCTTGAAACAAGTTGTAATGTTATTTACAATTTTTTTGGTAAATTATTCACATGTATGTGATGATCAAAAGTACAATTTATAACAATCTTGAAACAGTTTAAATATGCTAGAAGACTCTACCACATTCTATGATTTATACATAAATATGAAAGAGGATTAACTTTCAAAAATGAATTGATTATTACAATATTATGTTAAGCATATAAAAAATTTATTAACCTTCTATTTATTTTCATTAATATTAATTTGAAATAAAAAATGTGTGTACAGTGTTGAGTTAAATTAATCACAAAAAATTATATGTCTATTATTTAAATGTCTATTATGTCTATTATTTAAAATTCAAACACATAACAAGATGTTGTGAATTTTAATCAAATGAATAGAATGTAAATTCTGTATAGGTACAACAGAATTGTTAAAAATTGAAGAAGTGTAAAAAAAAATAAACAGTAATTTTATACTAACACAAGTTTGAAGAAACTAAGTTTTTGATTTAGCTATATACAACATATTCGTTAATTGAAGATACTGGTTATTAAATAATTGTTAAAGTAAACAACATACGAAATTTTTTAAGTACAAGTACTAAGTAAGTTTGATACTGCATAAAAAGGATTTTCCTTCAACTAAAGTTAATAGTGTATAAATTATTGAAACTCTTTAAAAAACTTAATAAAACGTGTGCAACATAAACATTAAAGTTACTTACACCGAGAGTAGATTCGTGTCTGAACTTCTTCGGTTTTTTGATACCATTACGGTGAGCCTTGCGGTCTGTTAAATAAAATTTATAACGTTAAAACCTTTAGAGACTTTTAAAATTTAGACCTTTCATAGAAGTTATATGTTTAACTCACTTTGATTGTGATTTGTGTGGTTCTTTGACTTCGCCATTTCGGTTAAGTTCTGTAAACAAAAATATATATCTTACTATTTAATATGGAACATACACTTTGCACCAATACACTTTAATTATACAAAACAACAGTGATTGCAGTTATATTTTCGGAAATATTATTCACTAAAAAATAAACTAACCTACACAGCACTAAGAAACGTCAAGAAAGAGACAGTTGGTAAGGTTGACACTGTTTTCTCATTTGACAGCACCCATAGACTTATTTTTTTTTGTTAAGGTTATTCCGTTCAGCATCCACAGACAACTTAGTTCCTACTTCCTACCTATAACTTTAATTTTAAATTAAACTAAATTAAAAGAATATATTAAATTAAACACTTTTCCCCAGAGTTATCTTTCGAATTTTTTTTCTTTTCCCTGTGTCACCTATATATTTTACATGTTTATTGATTAACAAAAAATTTTTGCTTTTAAGTTTATCTTAAAATGGTTTAAGGTGACTCCGTAGGTAGTTCCTAGGTTTGGTATTTACAAAAATTACAAAATTTCGTCTTTAATTACTGTTTTCTTATCAATTGTAGATTAACAACAAATAAAATTGTTACTGAATTCTATGATCTATCACTTGTGTCACGTCTTACGTCTGTCAATTATCAGCGTTGTGTTCGTGACGTGTATAAAATATCATTGCTATTCTTTAAATTCTTAATCTCTTTTTGATAATTTCGTAATGATATAAAATTCTTATTAAGTTAGGAAAAGAAAGTAATTTTATAAAATGGTTGTGTTAGAAGAAAGTGGAGATGCTCAGCCGGTCGCTGCTGACGATGGTTCAAAAGAAGAAATCAAGTCTAAGAATATGATATCTTTAGAAAGTATCCTTTTATAAAATTCAAAAATTACAACTAACAGGTTGCCTGTGCAATATATATTTAAACCAGTTTTTGATATAATCATATTTTAAAGGGAGAAAGTCTATCTAAATTTAAAAAAATTAAAATCTATTTAAAAGCTGGTAGTATTATTTCCTTCCATAGTAAGGCGAAATGAAATAATAAATTATTTTGGTTAATGTTATGGTCCCATATTTTTGCTTTAACTGTTCTATTAGTTATTAAATAATATATGTATAAAAAGAGATTTTTAATATAATTAGTAACAATATTATAAAATTTTGTACATTATAGGGATCAGACTTCATAACTGAAATATTGAACTAATTGTATTAAGAATTCTAAAAAACTGAAACTAATACCACTTTAAGTGATCAAAACTGCCTATAAATCATAATTTCACCTAATTGTCTCATCTTCCACTGTACTTATTTGTAAGTCTGAATAATATTAATAAAAAAAAATTAAAACCAGTGTGCTTTAGACCACCCCGCTGAAGTAAAACTTCTTTAGCTCCATCTATATATTGTAATATGTATATACATGTATAAAACAGATTGTATATACTAATATTTGAATTCATTATGGGTTATCATTGACAAATTAATATATCTTTTTATTTATTTTTCATTATATTTGTTATTGGAATCTAAATACATCAATAATAATTACTGTGGTTGATTGTAAGACCGAAACAATAGGCATATGATATGAGAAATAAGACACATATGTTCGAATGAAGATTAGAAAGATATCTTGAGAAAATTAAAAACAAACTACTGATCACACCTCTCCCGATCACACTTTTTGTAACATTTTCGTAACACATTCACCAGCTTACTCCCAAGTCAAGTCAATTTAACACAAAAAAGAACTAAATGTACAATGTTTATAATCTCCTGAACAAGTCAGTATTTCGTGTCATAAAGGACGCTCAGCAGCAGCACGGTCTTCGTCATGGAGATTACCAACGTTACCGTGGCTATTGTTCGCGACGTTTAAGACGTTTGCGTAAAGTACTGAAAATACCTCAGGTTTGTTACTATTTGATACATTAAAATTATGAAAATTCAAACTTTGATAATATACAAATCTCAAAAGTATGATAGTTAACATATAATATGCTTTATTCCAGGGTGATAGGCGTCACTATCGTCGTCGGGACGTTACTTCCTCTCACTTAACAGCTTCGAATGCTGAGAGCCGTCTGCTTTGTGTGCCATTACTCCAAGCTGAAAGGGCCTGGGCTCATGCTATGCAGCTAAGACAGGAAGCGAACACAGAGCCCAGGAAGAAGTTCCATCTTGTAGCCAGACTGAAGAAAGCTTGTGCGCACGCACAGATGCTTTTACAGCTATCCGAGGTAACCTATTGAATTGGTAACATATAATTTTATGTGTTTATGGTCAAAACTCGTATGTGTGTTTGAGTTCAAACCATTATTTTAATTTGTTGGTATATTTGCATGCGTTTTGTTGGACCTTGAGTCCCTTGATGTATATTTCAAAACATTTCTTATAACTTTTTATAGACATTATATATTTTGCTGATGAAATGTGAAAATTTCAATGGTAGTAGTTTTGGATTAACATTGCTATTGTGAACTGTAAATTAACATAATATGTTTTAGTAAAATACTATTTTTGAAATTATTGGGCTTCAAGGTTATTTAGGACTTTAAGTGAAAAAGGCAGAAGTATGTTGTTTGTTTTTATATCATGTAAAGTTTTAATAATTTATTTTGTCTCATTTATTGTGAACAATTATACAATTCTGTATATTAAAATTGAATAATTCTATAAAGCAATGCTATCTTTGTTAGTTCATAAAAAAAAAATAGGGTTAAATAAAACTCAATGTTTTGTTTTGTTAACGTGTTAGTTATGTTAAACTTTATGACCAGCAAAGCGGCACGTGCTCTGCGCGTACGCAGCTCGAGGCGGGCGCGTATGCGGCGTGGTTGCGGGGAGCGCTACTGCTAGAATTGCAGCAGTGGCGTGCCGCTGCCGACTGTCTGCGGAGCGCGCAACTTGTACTCGAGAACTTGTGTAGTGCGTTGCCGCAAGACGAACAATTAGTGTACAAGCAGAAGGTAGTTTAACAATAATTAGTTTAAGAGTTTAAAAAAATTTCTGTTTCATTATAATATATTACATGTATGTGTGAAGGTGGATGAATTACACCCCAGTCTGAGGTACTGCGCCTACAATATTGGAGATGAGTCAGCGGCCGGCGACCTTCTGGCGTTAAGGGGACAAGGGCTCATTGATAACTTGGACACACTCATGGCGCAGGCTAAGTACGTTTTATTTCTATTGATGCATGTAATTCTATAGTTATTAGAAAAGAAGTTGGTTGCATTACTAAATATCATTCTTCCTTTGTGTTCAGGGAGTCACGTTCAGGTGTCATGCACGAGGTGGAGTGGCGTGGGCGTGTGGTTTCCGTACGTCCGGAAAAGGTCCGTCTGTTCCTGATATCTCTACAAGACCTGGACACCTCGCTGAAAGCAGCTGTTGACTCGCAGCACAGGATCACACTGCTGGAAAACGTCCTCATGGACTGCAAGGACGCTATCTCCGCTCTCAAGGACGAGATTAAGAACGATCCCAAACTGAAGAACGCCGAGGCTCAACAGATGTCCAGCGTCAATTATCTGCTGTCGTATTTGATGTACTTACGTCTTGTCAGAACGGTGGAACGTAATAATCTTTTGGTACAGCAAGCCGAGGAGGCGCGTCGCAACAACGTGCCCATAGACGGGAAGAAAGTACGCCCTCAAGATCTTACGCGTTTGTATGAAATCATCTTGCAGAATTACAGCGAGCTCCAACAACTGCCAGGATTTGAGAACGATCTTTCATACCAGTCCGAAATTGACACGGAAATGAAAGCGTACAAGGCGTTCAGATGCTATTATATAGCGCAAGTATTGACTGGCTTGCGGCGCTTCAGAGAGGCACTCGCTATATTGGAGCGATGCAGTACATACACCGCTGAATCGCTGGCCAGTAAATTAAAGGACAAACAACTGCTTGCGAAGTTAGAGGATTTGCAGAAAGATATAGAAAGCTGTAAATACGAGGTCCACGCGGACTCGGTGCTTGAAGATGATGAGGAAGAAGAGACTAAATACACCAGGTCTTACAAAGACAAGAAACCTTTAGTCGACCGGCTCGACGATTACCGCGAGGACAGTCAAGTACTCACCAAGAACCCTAACATTTTCAAACTCCCGCCTCCAATGGAAGCGGTGCCTTGCAAGCCATTGTTCTTCGACTTGGCCTGCAATTTCATTGAGTTCCCCAACTTGGATGACAAGACTGGAGCTGCGAATAACAAGAAGCAAGGTGCGGGTCTCACTGGACTAGTGAAGGGATTTTTGGGCTGGGGTAAAGGTGACAAGTAATGGCATTTTGTGGCATATTCAACAATATATATTATCATGGTCACTCATGTTGTTTTATTGTTATAAATCATGTATTATGAGAACTCAGGAATATAGCAAACGAAGAACTACTCAAACTTGTTTATTTCATTCGAATTACAAATTTAGATGTTGCACGTTCAGTACTTCATTTCATATTGACCCTTTTTTACCAGGCCCCAAATCCTTGCGTTATTATTGCTCTCATATTTAGTCAGGCGCTTTTAATCAATTATTATCAGCCCCAACATACTAATTATTTAACAAATATTATTATCAGATTTCGTTTGTTTTTTTTTATTTTCAATACAGTGATATTATAAAAGTATGTTGTTTATGTACATACTTATTTTATTGACTTCTTTTATTTTTTCTTTAAAAGGTTTTAAAAAATCAAATATCATACTATTTCAGTTTTTATTTACGCATCTCGTTCACTAAGCGTTCTAGTTTAAATAACTTAATATATTTCGTTCAATAAAAAAAAATAACACAAATTTAATTGTTCAGTTGGAAAGTACAAAAATATAATTACTTCGAAATAATATATTTTACAGTGTAACATTTACATAAATCACATACATTTTAATGACGTTTGTCTATTATTTAATTACAACACATATAATACAGAATATGCAAGACTATGTTTCTCAAATTTTATTAATGGAACTGAATACATTAATTTTCACGTAATTTGCTGCGCATACGAGTTTAGATATGGTATTTTAATAAACCTTAGGTTTGAGAAACACTGATACAAATGGTCAACATTTAAGTACTATCAGATAAAAGAAGTTACAGTCGTAATTAACGCTATGTGAGGTTAAAATCTAATGATGATATCGTTATATCTTTTACAAACAATCTATTTAGGTAAAATTTCTTCAACAACTACCAAATATTGGAAGTACGATTATAATTTAAGCAAATAATTACAAAGCACCCCTGTAAAACGCGTCGAACGGTCAGTTAACGGTGATTCACCGAAGTGATCGTTATTTATAAGTGAACACAATGCGTTATCACAGTATTAGCGCGAGGTTAGCGGCGGCCAGTGGGCTGAGTCGTGGGCGACGCTGTCCGCGGGAGATAAAAGCTGACCGCACGTTGAACAGACTTCTAGCTTCGAACTTATATCCCTTCCTATCACCAATTCCTGTTGTTTCGCTATATCAGGCAATAAAGCCACTAGATCCGGAAACACAGAATCCAATTGTGGTCCGAGCGCCGATTTGCAGTGCTGGTAGAAATCGTCAGCGCTGAGAATGCTGTCGCGGAACGCCCTTGAGGCGACCTTGAAGTTTTCTACGGCGGCCGCGCCTCCGAGGGCGACCGCGAACTTCCTAACCAGCGCCCGGTTCCTCTGTTCGAAGTCCGGCGGCGGGATGTACGTGTGTAGCGGAGCGGGGAAGGTCTGTCCCGATGAGTTTGTGAACATCATCCCATCACAGGCCGGCCTTTTTTTAAACCCGGGAGGTACGCTTCCATTCTGCATCTTAGTTTCTGCAGCTTTGGGATTCAACGGCGGATACTCTTTGGGCGCCAGTTTAAAGTTATCGTTTGACGAATTTTTGGTAGAATTTGTTGTTGTGTCGTTCGCGATCGTCTTAACTTTTTTGTCTGAATCCCCGCTGTTGTTGTTGGCGTTCACGCTAGCGACGATGTATTCCTTCTTGATGTCGACCTCATTCACACCGTTCACCAGATCGTAATCTATTTTCACGTCTTTCTTAGAATTGGCATTCTGCTTCTTCTTCTCCTTTTTACTTTTATTTGAGTTGTCATTTTGAGACGTGTTTATTGTTGGCGGCTGTGATTGAGGTTGAGTTTTTTTGGGTTTATTTTTGGCGTTCGCGTTGATAGGTAGAGTAGGGAAATCTGCTACGGGATTGAACACAGGGCTTCGTGGTTTGGCTGGCGCTTCTGCTTTAGGCTTGGATTTTTCTTTAGTTTTGGACACGGTTATCCATTGCGGTGGTGTCGCTGGCACCGACGATGAGGAAAGCGCGGGAAAAGCTTCCGAACTAGACTTTGATTGGAACTTCTTAGGCTGACTCACTTGTTGACTGTTCTTGAGAGACCGCAGTTCATCGCTGTTGATCAAGGTGACCTTCAAAACAAAATAAAAATTACTGAATAATATTTTAAATTTAATTTCGCATACAAAATGGTATAACGAAATTTTATATCTCGAAATAACGAAGACAATAACAAAATAGTTTCAACGATTTTAATTTTGATAAGTATTATAAAAAATATTCTGGATATAACCAATACGTTCTCTTTATGGGTTATTAAATTTATAAAAATCATGAAATCATAATTTACAAAAAATATTTTCAGTTCGTTGATTAAACGGTTAGTCTCCCAAACGTGATAGTTCCTTGATGTACTTTTTTCTTTACAAATACTTTAACTAGCAAGCAAATAAAACCATCAAAAGCTAGTTTATTCTGAGTATCTAATAGTAATATTTTTTGTCATATAATCAATACCTTGGAAGGTTGTATAGTACCGGCTCCAATACTAGGATGATCATCTCGAGGATGTCCAAGTGAAGGAAAATCTTCATCCGACAAATGATTGTGTTGTTTCTTCTGCGGCGGTATAGAGATACGATTGCCGCTAGTCTGAGTCAACCTGAAGTTACTGGCGCTGGGTTGACTGTGGAGCTGAATGGACACGCTTGGCTTGGAGGCTGCGTAATTAAATATACAATATAATAATTATCATAGTATTGATATGGCTTTAAATACGTTAAATATTAAAGCAAATTTTTTTTGGAAGACTCATATATGGCTGGATATTTGAAAGTAATTTTTTTTGCAGTAAAGAATGATAGACTGTAACTTAATAATAACATAACATTAACATTATGTAATGATAGCAAGCGTTTAAAACACTGACTTATCCCTTACAATTTGATGTATATTATGGTAACTTAACTATTTTTTTCTTTAAGTCAAAGTTCCAAGCGACAATACCTGATAGTGACATCTAATAAAAAATTAAAAAAAAGAATAATTCCATTCTGCCAATGTATAAAACTTTTGAAAGGCTGGTTATAATATAAGGAGTTTCTCTATGATAACTTGAGAGATTCTGCTTCTATATGTTATTAGAGCTTGTATATATTTTAACTCACAGTTTCTAAGCACAGCCGCGGCTACTGGGGCGGCAGGTCGAGACGCCTGGGCGGAAGTTTGGGCGGGGGCGGCTCGAGAACCGTCCAGGGCGGGGAAATTACGTTCCGTACGAGCTAAACCTTCCGAACCTGGTACACCAAGTCTTTAAATATATACACTATAACATAATATACATACATACTTTTACTAAAGGTATATCAATTTTCTGTTCAACAAATAAATGTACCATGAAATGTCCACTCATCCCACTAATATTATAATTGCGAAAGTTTGTCAGTGTGTGTATGTTTGTCAATACTTCACGCTCAAACGCCTCAACTGATTTTGATAAAATTTTGTATACAGGAAGCTGACGTCCAGGAATAACACATAGGCTACTTTACATCCCGGAAATGCGCAGGTAACACCGCGGGGCGCAGCTAGTATGTTATATATTATTCAAGGTCATTGTAGTTTATATGATGTCATTGTTTGTGACGTCATATGATATAAAAATATTAACTTTAAGGCAGTTCGTAATAATATGTACCTCTCAACGATCTAGGCGCTGCCAGCAGCGGTGTGGGCGCGGGGGGTGCCGATGACAGCCTTGGGAACTGTTCGTCACTCCTCGGGTCGATGGCCACAGGCGGGGGGGCGGGGCTTGGGGCAGGCGGCGGAGCCGGCTCAGTACGGTCCCTGAAGAGAAACACATATTTATAATAATATAATTAAGCTCATAGATATATTCTATTATAAAACAAATACGTCAGTATTAATTTATCAATTTGATATTAAAACACTGTAAGTAACTGAATTCATATTATAAAAATAAATAATAGGAACATATAAATTAGTTGAAATTTTTGTGGCAAAAACCTTAAACATACTAAATACCACTTGTAGCTCTGATAGTACTGATATATACCTTTTGTTATATTTTATATTCATAATATATTTAATATTTATTCATTAACTATAATCATCTCGATTTCGATTATGGAATCAATTATTTCGAGCGTTGCTATACCTAATTTATCCCCAGGGCGCTAGTGTCGTTTGAATATCGAATTTGAATTTCGAATATGGAATTAATTGCTTCGAGCGCTTCTATAACTTATTTATCCCCACGGCGCTAGTGTCGTTTGAATATTGAATTTGAATTTCGAATATGGAATTGTTTCGAGCTTTGCTATACCTTATTTATCTCCAGGGCGCTAGTGTCGTTTGAATATCGAATTTGGATTTCGAATATGGAATCAATTGTTTCGAGCGTTGCTATACTTTATATATCAGGGCGCTAGTGTCGTTTCATATTCAAATTTGAATTTCGAATATGGAAACAATTATTTCGATTGTTGTTATACCTGGTGGCGCGGACAACCGGGTGTGGCGTTATATTAAACTGGAGCTCCAGGGTTCGAGCCTGTCGGGCGGCGCCGCGAGCCAGGCCTCTGCCGTGGACTGTGGCACGGTGAGCTAAAACAACATACATATACATATATACTCAAAGCGAAAAGATATAATATTTTGTTAAATACATGAAGTATATATTATATAGCACACATCAAAGAAGCTGTCGACGTCAAATTTGTTTGTTTGTTCGTTAAATTCTTTAAAACGCAATATTTTACTGCTATTATCACAATTGATGAGATGGTAATTGTTTGAATTTTAGGTTTAGGTTTAATAATAAGGAATTTCCTCTGACAATACTTCATATGTACCTCATGAGATGAGGACAAGAATTTGTATGTAATATTAAGCTATACAAGAATGTCGCAATGCCAAACATTTCAATTAATAAAACAACTGACATTAATATAATCGAATTGCCAAATAATATCGTCAATCTCTTCGTAATTCTTTCTTAAAATATAGTGTTGTTCACCTTGAAAATAAAGATTACGTGTACATATGTAGTGTAAATCACCTTTAAGGAGGCAGTGTAATTCTACCTTAAATAATGAGTTTAAAGTGTAATTTACCCTTAAGATCGATTTCGCTCCTGAAGACAGCTGTGAGATGTTGTCCAGCACATTCTCCCTCCTCGCATAGATAATGTTCGGTTCGGAAATGATGAGCCAACGCCGCGTGCGACGCGTAGTATAGATTCCTACCGTCAGCGTCACAGAGGTGACAATATAAATGTTCCTTACGAAGATGACGGTACAATTCATCAGCATCCATGAACCTTTCCTCACAGAACTCGCATAAAGGATGACCCCTAGGAAAATAATTACAACATATAACATAACAAAAATCTTCAATTCAATACTATAGTACAATTAAATACATCAAAAAAACCTAAGAAAGTCAATATAGATACAAATTTTTTGTCCTATTAGGCTCTTGTTAGACTATTAACATGTGTATATAAGAATGTAATATTTCATTCCATATAAATAAAATATTACAATAAGATTACTTGTATGGCAATATTGAAAACATAGACCAATTAATGAAAATATCACAGTATTCTGTATCACTTAATTCAATCATTCAATTTTGATTTTGGAACTTCATTATATAAGGAGAAAAATAAAATATATACATCGTCAGGGATAGTGCAAATCCGCGTAACTACCATAGAATAATTCCGATATCTACATTAGAAGTAGATTATCAGAAGAGAGTTTAAGCTGAAATCTATTTATATGAACGACTTTTACGGTAATTTTTTTCACAATTAGTAATAAATAAAACACTAAATAATTAATAATTGTGAAAAATTACCTAAAAAGTCGCTAATATAGAAACTATTTCAGCTTGAATTTTCTTCCGATAATCTGCTTCCAATGTAGATACGCAGAATTATCTAATGGTAGTTATGATGATTTGCACTATCCCCGACGACATTCTCTTTGAATAAACAAATATTATAAAAATAGTCTATGATTTTATATATGTTATGTAAATTCAATATACCTGTGAGATGTATCATCTAGATCGCCTTTTCGTCGGTGGTGTGCTAATTCTTGTCTGGTATAGCATTTCCTTTCACAGGTGAATATCTAACCAACAACAATAATTTAATAATGTATTAATTATTTTTAAATTTAATATCATCATTATGTACTTCCCTCACTTATTATGTTGAATTATATTTAAGGAAGTATGTAATATTAACACAATACCTCATAACATAAACAAAGTTTCAAAACATGATAATAAATGCCTACACACAATCTTATATATATAATTCTTCTGTGAGTGTGTATGTCACTGAACTGCTCTCAAACAACTGGACCGATTTTGATGAATTTTTTTTTGTGTGTTTAAGGGGATCTGGGAATGCTTTAGATTCACAATTTTATCTGATGGACAATGTTTTTTTATTAGTAATTCTTGATACAAACATTTTTTTGACATGAGATTTGACAACTAACTAATATGTCAATCATTCTGTCGCACTTCAAAACACTGAGATTTATGGCTTTAAAAGGTAAACCCCAAAGATATAAATAAAAAAACGTAACAGACATTTCTTTATTATAGGCCGATACGAAGTTCGCCGGGTCTTCTAGTATACATATATAATTAATCAATTGCCTTTTCAAGTATTTATTGAAGTAGTATTTAAATAGGTTATCAACTAAACACAATATTCTGTTTGAATATAAGTATTTGTAGACCAAAATGACAAACCTTAAGATGTTTCACACAGAGGTCGCAGTAGTGTCGTTCGTGGACCTTCCTCATATGGTCACTTAGCATTGAAAATGTACGGAAAGGTGTTCGGTCACATATGGAACACGAGTTCTCCAGAAGCTTTTCATACGCTTTTTTTATCTCCTCGCTACAAAACCCTATCTTGAATTGTCTTTCAAACAGTCGATCAGGAAATTCTTGGTTCCGAAGCTCTTTATATGGCTGGATTTTATCCGTAAACACCACCTTAAATTATATTGAGGAATAATAACTCACTATATATTTTTTATATTGTTATTAGATTTACATTTATATAGAAATGTTAAATTTATATTTTATACATTGTTGTCAAAATGAAATAAATAATAAAAAAATATGAAAATTGTAAAAAATTCTTTTAATGTTTATTAAAATATATTTTAAACTAATATTATTGTGCAATAGATTTTTGTAATGAGGCTTATTATTTTTTATCAATAATATGTTATATTGAAATAAAAGCTATTCAAAATATTTTTTAATATTTTTTTGCAAGAAATAAAGTTAAAATAAATATATCATATCGTATATATTAAATTATATGAAGAACAAAACCGCATTAAGCCATACCCTTGAAAGATCCTGTCGACAGATTGGACATTCATTCTGCAGGCACAGAACTCGCATGCGAGTCGAACACTCGAAGCAGACAGGATGATCACATTCACCAATTGAGAAATAAACGACAGTCTTAAAACAAACTACGCAAGTAGTGTTGTCGTACACTTGAGAATCGGCCATGATTTGTATGTTACTCTTTCTAAAAGAATATAGTTACAGATAACGTATCTCATTCACTTAATGGTAACCAGTAATAAATTCTCGACAAATACCTACCACGATAATCTGATAGGTCACAGATGGTAAGATCGAATAGGCAAATGAGCAAAAAGCTTGATGAGAGTAAATTTGACAATCCAATTCATAAGGGTATTAGTGACAGATAGTCCCCAGCTGGCATGTTGGCAGAAGATTATAGTGTTTCCATAACCATTTTTTGCCTACAACTTTTTTGTTTACAAAAAATATTTGATACATTTACTTAATATTATATAATTTAAAAAAAAACGATCGTTAGAATAAATTTATATTAAAACCTATTACTACATTATCTTATTAATTAAAAAAATAAGTTTCCACTAATGTAATTTCTTAAATAGATATATTACAAAATTTAATCTGTGCTATGGAAATTCAAATTGTTATATGAAGGTTTCAACCGTTTCTTTAAATTTTCAAACTGAACTTGTTTGATTAGAAAAGAAACAGCAGTTCAGTTGAAGTTCGTTTAAAATTTTATGATTAAGTTTAAAAATATGTGTAATATTTGAATTTTGTGTTCAAATGACCAATTAATATCATAAAATGTATTTCGAAGTATGTTTGAAATGTTTGTGTCTATTTAATTGAGCTAAGCAAAGGTATTTTTTATTTTTCATTATTTTGTAGATAGAGAATACTCCTGAGCATTTAAAAAGGGCACGGAAAAAAGAGGTCGTACATAGATCTCCTAAAGAAGAGTGCCCGAGACTTATTTTAGCACCGTTTTCGAAACCTCCTCAAGTTGTATTTGACAATGTTTTGATTGGAAGAACCTGTGAAAGAATATTAGAGGTCTTTAATCCTTCAAAATGCATCCAACAGGTAAATTCATTACTATTTCACTTATATATGCATGTAAAAATAAAACAAATTCATTGTTTTGCATTGAAACTTAAATGTTATGCTATAACTGTTATCTGTTCTTGTGCTTATTTGAATTCAAAGATAGAAGAGAACGATTTTTACTCTTAATATTTTACAGCCATTTACAAACTAGTTTTCCCATTCAGTTTTATACATTACATTATTCTGACAAAATCTTATTATCTCTTAAGTTGGACACATAAGTAAATAATGAATTGAAAATGGTTAATTATTCCAAAAAAGACCAATAGTATTTAAATAATCTCAGCATTATTTGACTGTTTTGGAGTTCACCTTTTAATTTAATATCTTGTTGCAATATATGTTATATTCATACCATTATTGCCCCGATTGTGGTACTAAAAATGTAATAATAATTTTTATCCAACTTAAAACATTTACTATTTACATGAACACTTGATTCCAAAAGAATACTGTCATAATGTTAATAATATATTTATGAATACATATTTCTTTGAAATTATACAACTTAATGTTAAGTTAAGGCCCATTTAATGTGTTATAGATAAAATTAGGAAAAGCCACACCTCCTGGCCTCGTAATACATTTGCCGGGGGAATATTTGGAAGTGGAGCCCGAAACATGTTACAGTCTTACAATGATGTGGACTCCGGTACAACCGACTGCTCTTAGAGAGACAATACGATTTGTTAACGATGACAGGGGCAGATATGATGTATTTGTGGTCTTAAAGTCGATTATGGTATGCCACTATTAAGATACTACTATTTTTTGTTTAAAATACTTTTGCGGAATGTTCTAGTTAATTGTAATGTTTTTAATTCCAGAATGTCAAAAGCAAGAATAATCAACCAAAGTTTAAAACATCACCCGGCAAAATGAAGAGGAAGTCAGCTAAGAAATCACCTGTCGCTGTATATAAAAAGAAAATCGAAACAGTTTATAATACAACTAAAGTTAAAAAGACCATACATGTTGTTGAATCTCAAGAATATCAAGTTCTTGCTAACAAAGGGAATATATCATACAACAATTACTCGATTGACTCCAACACCAAGAAATGTCCGTTTGATTCACCGAATAGTGCGGATTTAAATTTCAATACAACAGAAATATTCTCCAACATACAAAGCAACAAAGGTGTCCTGCAACAGACGTATGATAAAACTTACAGTACTGTAAGCAGTGATAATGCTAATATACCGAATAATATTCTGAAACCATCAAATAAACAGCAAAATGATTCAACTACTGACATCTTCGATAATTTGACATTCACACCCTTGAAAAGTCTCCCATCTAAAAATGACAAACTAAACAAAGGACCACAAATTATATTGAGCATGAACTCAGACAGTGATTTTGATGATAGCTTAAATATAAAGGGAAATAATAAGGAAAATGAGACCGACTCCATTTTATGCATTACTTCATCGCATCAACCAAACACATGGTTGACTGTTAATCACATGCAATACGAGAATATGAATCAATGCAACGAAACTCCAACTCTACCGAACAAGAAGATACCAAATACTTCGTCTCCTAAAGATTTAAACAGCCCAAACTTTTCTATAAACACAGATTTTTCAAGAATCAGCGAGTTATCCTTCTTTCCACCTCGATTTTCAACAGAGAGGAAAATTATTCCAAAATTTAATTCTGACACTCACGATCTTATTGACGATTCCAATGTGAACATGAGATTGAGCTCCGATACGTATACAAAAGAGTCGCCAAACACGCCGTTTGACCAACAAGTAAATCAAATGTACGTAGACTCGAAACAGCATTTTATGAGAGAACAAAACGCAAAAATGTGCCGACAAGCACTTTTTAAAGAGTATCAAAGAGAGATGATGGAAAAAAATCATCTGCCCAAACCTGACAATTTCGTTTGGCATCAAGATTTAAGATCGGATATAAGATCCCCACCCAGATCACTCTCGCCTCCTCTACAATCGATACCTGAAGAAAGTGTGCAATTTTCAGAGACACAACCGTTTGATAAAACCGATAAACAAACAGCAACCTTCACTATAGACTGCACATTTGATAAAACCAATAAATCGTCTATCTTAAGACAAAATTCTTGGTCGAAGAAGGCCTTTAGAGTGGAACCCGAACTATGGAAGATGCCTGTACCAGTGGCAAAGAAACCTTCGAAGCCTAGAGCCGTCAAAGGAAATCAGACATTCGAAGCAAACAAAACTACCGATATCTCACTGAGTCACGTTGGCAACGTGTACTCGCAATCATTGACAGTCGATCCTTTTCTATCAACAACATACTTCTACGATGAAGGGGCTGTAGAGAAATTCGAAAAAGAATTCAAACGTTGGCTGAATTGCATTCTAACTCCACCAGCTGATCTCGATAGTAACGTGGAACAAAAGATAGATGTGGGCAAAGCTTGGATAGAAAATAGGAATAAAGAAGTACCAGCGGCGCCTACCAAGGAACAAGTGTGCAGCTTGTACCACAACAGCCATAGATTAGAGAGCTTAAGACGATCCGCGCGAGCTCTACTGCTGTCACCGGAAATATGTCAAGTATTCACTAAACTACACGTGCAAATAGAAAAGAAGTTGATAGCCATACGCAGCGATAGAAATCTGCATTTAGATGTGGGACTTCAGAAAATTATAATGGAACTCTTGCTCTCCTATAATCCGCTCTGGCTGCGTATAGGACTTGAAGCTATCTACGGTCTAGTATTGCCTCTTAAGTCGAACAGCGACATCGAAGGATTGACCACCTTTATCGTACACAGAATGTTTAAGAATCCGAATCTCAAAAGCAAAAATTCTAAATCGCGAACACCGAACATGCTTTCACCGGCTTACATAGACGCTATCAAGAAATACACACTGAAGAAGTTCTTCATGCTAGTATTCTTCTTGGATCAGGCGAAACAGAAGAAACTGATCTCACACGATCCGTGCCTGTTCTGTAGGAACGCTATTTGTAAAGAAAGTAGAGAGATTGTTATAAGATTCACTAGAGAGCTAATCGCTGGTATAGGAGACATAACTAAGCACCTTCGACCTCTAGGATACGTGGTCAGCCACAAACAATCCTACTTGGACGAATATAAATATGCCGTTCACAACATAGCTATCGACATACGAGACGGAGTGAGGTTAACCAAAGTCATGGAGATTATATTGATGAAGAACGGCCTGCTGCATCAACTACGAACTCCCGCTATATCCCGCCTACAGAAGATTCATAACGTTCAAGTAGCGTTGAATGCTTTGAAAGAGGCCGACTTCGTTATACTCGGCGATATAACTGCAACCGACATAGCCGATGGTCATAGAGAGAAAACATTGTCTCTGTTATGGCAAATCATACACGTGTTTAGAGCGCCATTATTTGAAAGAGCAGCTAACGTTATACAGACGTGGTGGAAGAAGAAATACGAGGTTATCGTGGAAAAGAAAAGGGAGCAAGAAAGAATAATCGCTAAGCAAAATTACGCTGCGAGCATCATTCAGTATTGGTGGCGCAGGATCAAGTATAATCGTATGGTTGAATATAAAATGTATCAAGTGACGATGGCCACTATTGTGATACAAAAGTACTGCAGGATGTGGTTATGCCGTAGCCGCTTGAAGTCATATAAGAATAGTGCTTTGAAAATTGCTAATTGGTATAAAAATATGAAATTAATTCGTCAAGCCAAACAGGATTTACTTAAGCTACGACTGAAGAGGCAAGAATTGGAAAGACAATCAGCTATAATCATACAAAAAACATTTAGACGATGGCTATGTGTGATGAATTACGAGAGAAAAAGAGCACAAATTATCCTGCTCCAAAGCATCATTCGCAGATTTTTAGTTCGGAAATGGTATATCGGTCTAAGAAAATCTGTATTACAAGTCCAACAAAGGTTTAGAGGAAAATTACTTATGAGGAAAGAAATGAAATCGTTTGCAGATATCAAGAAAAGT